TTTGTATGTTTGTTTGTTTGTTTATGTATGTTTATGTGTATGTGTATGTGTATGTGTATGTATTTGTATGTGTATGTGTGTATATGTGTATGTATGTGTATTTGTTTATGTATGTGTATGTGTATGTATGTATGTGTATGTATATATGTGTGTGTATATATGTATGTATGTGTATGTATGTGTATGTGTATGTATGTATGTATGTATGTATGTGTATGTGTATGTATGTGTATGTGTATGTGTATGTGTATGTATGTGTATGTGTATGTGTATGTGCATGTATGTGTATGTGTATGTATGTATGTGTATGTATGTATGTGTATGTATATGTGTATGTATGTGTATGTATGTGTATGTGTATGTATGTATGTATGTATGTATGTGTATGTGTATGTATGTGTATGTGTATGTGTATGTGTATGTGTATGTGTATGTATGTATATGTGTATGTATGTATGTGTATGTATGTATGTGTATGTATATGTAGGTATGTGTATGTGTATGTGTATGTGTATGTATGTATGTGTGTGTATGTAGGTATGTGTATGTATGTATGTGTGTGTATGTAGGTATGTGTATGTATGTATATGTGTTCGAGTGCTAGCTTGGTAGCTAGCTAGCTGGCTGGCCAGCTAGCTAGCCAGTGTGTGTCGATTTGCGCGTGCTGGAGCCTCTGCAACATGGGGAGGAGTCTTTTAGGGGTGTGGCTGATTTCTTTGTACCTACGAGCAATGCGCTGAAACGCGGATACAGTGTGCGCTGCGGGCTAATGAGGAGGGGAAGGGGGCGTGGGAGCGATTGGTAATACCAGTTGCGTCTCCTTTCCTTTTTTCCGATGCGTGTTGCGACGGGGGATAAATATTCAACCGTCTTGTCTCGGCAGTCTAGAGGGTTGTGTGTGTGTGTGTGGTGGGGCTATGCTTCTAAGGGGCATGCTTCTCGGCCAGACTTGTTCATCGCATCATCGCGTTTTCGCATGCATGCATGCAAATATATATGTATGTATATATATGTATGTATATGTGTATGTATGTACATGTGTATGTATGTACATGTGTATGTATGTACATGTGTATGTTTGTACATGTATGTGTATATATATGTACATATGTATATGTGTATGTATGCATCTATATATATGTGTGCATCTATACATATGTGTGCATCTATACATATGTGTGCATCTATATATATGTGCACCTATACATATGTGTGCATCTATACATATGTGTGCATCTATATATATGTGTGCATCTATACATGTACATGTATGTGTGTATATATCTGATGTGCGCAGGGCCTGCCCTTCTTGCCACCCAGCGAAAGGACGGTCGGTCTCCTTTTAGGGTGATATCTTTGGATTTTGGATCGAGCGACGGCGAGAAAATAAGAATGGCTACAAGTGTGGCGTTTACGAATGACAGCTCCACGTCGGTGTCTTCCCTAGGGCATGTCGAGTTCGAGATGAGCTATGAGGGAGTTCCCTTGGGCCGCATGCGTTCAGAGGTTCCCCTGCGGATGGCGCGAGGCAGCAACGTGTACACCTTTCAGGGGGAGTTGCGCCCTCTGCAACTTGCTCTCACGCAGACGGAGAGCACTCAGCAGACGGAGGAGGCGCAGCAGCACACGCAGATCTTCCTCGACACCTTGGGCTCTATGATGGCGAAGTCGCTCTCTGGACTGCCCGTCGTGATGGATGCTCGGGGAGTAGACTGCTCTGAACCCGTCTTCCTGCCCGCTGTGCTGGCATCTGCTTTCATCACTCCTGTTCAAGGGCTCTCAGTTGCGGCTCGCGACGGTGCAGCGAAAGAGGTCAGCGCTGGAATTCTCTCCGAGGCTCCCAACGCCGCTGCAAGGCCTAAAAGGGCCCCCCAACCCAGAGGCGACTCCCCTCTGACTGCAATGGTGGAAGCGCTTCGGCTCTCCGACGTGCGCATCGAAGAAGATCCAGAAGCAGAAGACTCCGTCCGCGTCGAGGCACTTCTCAAGGCCAGGATTGCAAACCCTCTTGGACCGAACTCCCCAGTCATCGTCGATCAGGTGCGACCAACAAGGCCTGAAGAGAGAGAAAGGAGAGAGGGAGAGAGAGAGAGAGAAGGGAGAGAAGGGAGAGACAGAGAGAGAGAGAAGGGAGAGAGGGAGAGACAGATATATATATATATATATATACATACATATATATATATATATATATATATATATAAAGGTAGAGAGATATAAAGAGAGAGATGTATAAAGAGAGAGAGATATAAAGAGAGAGATATATAAAGAGAGAGATATAAAGAGACAGATAAAGAGAGAGATATATATAAAGAAAGAGAGATAAAGAGAGAGAGAGATAGATAAAGAGAGAGAGAGCGCTTTCGGTTTGCCGTCTGTCTCCACAGTATTATGAGAATCTCGTGCTCCTAAGGCCTCCTGCTTCCTCCCGTAGCTTGCTCGTGCAAGTTCTCTTTTTAGCCTTGTGCATCGCTCATCGGAGGGGATTATTGATAGGCCTTTTAAAATGTGTCTTGCGTGGGCAGCTGCATGCACCCCCAGTTTCTGCCTCTGCGCTCTCCCCCGAACAGTAGCTCTTCCCCAATCTGCGGAGCTGCTGCTTGCTGCGTTCTCTTGAGGGGCTTGCATGCGTTTCGCAGGGAGCTCCCTCCTTCCCTTTTTTTCTCACTGGCTTTGACGCCTTTTCTGCCCGTCTGCATGCTTTGTTCAGCTCACCTTCGAAGCCACAATGCATGTGGACTCCCCCGAGGGGCCTCGTATTGGAGTCATCACTGCGTCTATGGTTTCAGTGGCCCCTCCTCAGAGTGTCTCGGCAGATGCGCCTTGTATGGATGCTGACGACGAGGAGCCGCGAGACTCGGCTCTGGGGTTCCCCTTCTCTTCTCCGCAGACTGCATCCTCCGTCGGGGGCAGTGCTGCTGCTGCGTCTCCTGCTTCTGCTCCTCCCGTCGTTCGCTTGGTGGGAGGCCCCTCGGATGGAGGAGCTAGTATGGTGAAGCACTTGGAAGTTTCGGGGGGATCGCGGAGACGACTCGCCGCAGCGCCAGAAGGCAAGGCACCGGGCCCTTCCTTGCGGACAGAGGCGTGGCTAGACACGTTTTTTGAGCTGCGTGGGTCGTTGCGTCTCGCTGAGGACGGGAAGGCTTTTGTGGAGCTCGTGAGGCGACTTGCGACAGAGGCTGAGGTGCCTCTCGTGTTCACGGATAGCCAGTTGGATGTGGAGGCGCAGTTCGCGCTGGGGAGGCTGTTCCTGCCGAAGATGCAGCTGGATCACGAGCTTCCCATGGCAGGCATGGGAGTCGTGGAGGCTGTCGAGGTCTCTTCCTTCTCGCTGTTGGGGGAGAAGGCTGGCGGCTGGCTGTTTGCGTCTACCGCAGTGCTTCCTGCGCGCGTTCCCGCCACCGTCGCTTTAGGCGCTGTCTCCATGTACCTCTCCTTCGAGGGTCTGCCTCTCGGCTTCCTAGCCACTCAGAGCCTCGTCGTTCGGGAAGGCCTCAACGATGTGTTTGTGGTGGGGTTGTTGAGGCCCGAGGGGCTCAGGAGTGAGGTCCTAGAGACACTCTCGAAGTTTTTCTCCGCTGCAGTCGCGTCGCCGTCGCGCGCTTCTTCCGGCAGACCCCACATGCAGCTCACTCTGTCGACAGAGCAACAAGGCGCAGCCATGGAGATGCTGCGAACCTACATGACGCAGCCCCCTCCCGCTTCCCCTTCCTCCTTCTCCTCCTCCGCTGCGTCTCCCGAGGCTCGCGGCGCCTCGACGGGAGCGCCCGCCAAGTGGCTGAGGGCAGCCATGGAGGGCCTGACGCTGCAGCTGCCCGTCCCTTCGCTGGGGGATGTCTCTTCCCGCGTGCAAGGCGTCGATATGGAGGCTTTGCATATCAACTGGCCCCTCGTCTCAGACTATACAGTCCCCCTGATGGGTTTGTCGCTCTTGAGACTCTCGAACCCCCTAGGACCGCGCGTGCCGATGCACCTGCGACACCTCTCTCTGGAAGCGAAGGTGGCAGCTCTGGTCGAAGCAGAGGCCCCCTTGGTGCCCACCCCGGGGGGGCCCCTCGTGCCGCTGACGGGGGCGCCATCTGCGGCTCCCAAGATCCTCGTGCCGCTGGGAGCGATGCGCGCCGAATTGACGGACCTGACGTGCAAAGCCGTCGGCAGCGGCGCGTCGAACGCGCTTCAGGAGGGGCACCCCCTCCTGGGACCCATAGGCGATCTTCCAGCCGTCACTGAAGACGCAGGAATGATCGAGATCAGAGCTCCGCTGCAGACTGCCATCGAGATCACGGAAGGCTCCCTTGGCCCACACAACTTTGGCATGTTTGCTGCTGCATTTGTGGAGCAACAAACAGTGCGCCTCGAGTTCATGGGCACGGCTGACTGCCTCGTCGAGACTCCTTTCGGAGTTGTCAAAGTCTCGCAAGTGGAGCTCCACAATGCTATGGACATCCCTGGCTTAGGCGGTCTTCACAATATCACCTACGCGGATTTCAAAGTCTTGGGGATTGGAGATGTTGAGGCGCACCTCTCCAGAGCCACGGCATCCGAAGAGGAAGAAGAAGAGGCTCCAGAAGAGCCACAGCAAAACGCTGCCTCAGACGCGACAGCCTCAACAGTACAGGGTATCCTCATGGACCTTACAGTGCTCGTTCAGAGCTCAGCAGACACCTCCGCGCAACTCGGGGAAACAGAGCTGCTCCTCTCCTTCATGGGTTCCCCTATAGGCCGCATGCGGACAGCCAAGGCTGCCTTCGAAAAAGGCGCAAATCGCTTGAGACTTCAAGGTGTGTGTGTGTGTGTGCTGCTCAACGCCAGTGCTGACCACGTACAGATACATAGGTGTGGGTATATGTGGGTGTGTGCCAACGCACGGCGACTTTCCTTCCTTCCCCTCCCCCCTCTCCTTCCCTCCCCCCTCTCCTTCCCTCCCCCCGTCTGGTGCTGTGGAGGAGGCTACATGCAAAGGGGGATGCTCGTGGTAGTTCTACTGCTGGAATTCGCAGCACATCGTTTCGGGTAAAATACTTTTAAGACAGCTTTGGCATGCGCTCAGTCGGTCTGTTTTTGTGTGGCCCTCTCACTATATATATATATATACACATATATATATATATACATATATATATATATATATATATATATTGATGTGTGTCTGTGTGTGATATTTTTTTAGGCGCGCTGCTGCTGACCAAGGGAAGTGAGGCGAGTCTGTCGCAGATGTTTTCAGCTGTGGTAGCTGAGATGCCTGTGGCTCTTGAAGTATCCATCGTGAAGGTGTTCTTGCCGTCGGGGGATGAAGCGCCTCTGTGGCTATCGGAGGGTTTGAGCCTTGTGCGTTTGAGGCCCTTAGTGCCTCCTCTGTCGGCGTTGTTCCCAGGACTGGATCCGCGGCATTTGCTGCGGGAGTTGCAGGTTGGCACGGTGTCTGTACACCTCGATGCAGCGCAGGCGGATCGCTTCACAATTACGGCGAACGTGCAGGCTACGGCGATATGCCCCTTCGGCGCTGTGGTTCCTCTTGCAGTTCGGGGAGCAGCTTTCGAGTTGCAGCTGCTGGGGGGAGATGGGCTGGAGATCGGATCAGTCACATCGACAACGCCTGCTGCGGCGGAAGCAGCGGAGGCACCCGAGATCACAACGCAGCTGGAGGTGCAGCCGGGAGGGGAGGAGACGCTCTTGGTGATTAGCATGAGGACGGAGGCAGTCATCGAGCTCGCAGGGGGGGGTGCTCCTCTTGGACGGTGGATTCGAGAGGCTCTGCATGGATCAGGCAGTCTTGAGCCATTTTTGGCACGAGGCTCTGCAGCAGTGGTGTTGGACGTTGGAGGCTTCTCGCAGCTCCTTGTTCGAGGACTGCAAATCGACAGTTCCTTCTCCTTCGGATCCGAGGCTTCCGCCGATGCGTCCTCTGTTATGGTGGCTGCCGATACACCCGATGCGGCCGTGGGTGTATCGACAGCCGCAGCTGCTGCGGAAGCGAGAGGCGCAGCGGCACCCTATGGAGGCTCAGCGCTCCTGCCGCAGGTCGATTTTCTGCGTATTTTAGGCCCAGTTTCTTCGGAGGGGGGGAAGAAAGGAGGCCTTGCATTTGAAGGGGAGGCGTCGTTCTCGATGCCCGTTCCTGTGCGCATGCTTTTGCCCCCCCTGCACCTGAAGGCGAGGTACGGAAGCACACTCATTGCGGAGCTAGAAACGGAGTCGATAAGCCTCCAGCCCAGGCCCAGTAGAACCGCTGCGCGCTTTTCGGGAACGCTGCTCCAACAGACTACCTCCGAAGGTCTTCAAGATCTCAATGCCTTAGCTGCGGAGACTGTGAAGGGCCTTATCCTCGGCGAAGCTGCCAGCGAAATTGCAGGCGGGGGAGCCGCTTCTCCCCAGCAAAAGCAGCTAGGCCCCGTGCTGCAGATAGAGGCAACGGTGCAGTCTTCGCAGTCTTCAGCTTCTGCGCCACGGTGGTTGCTGGACGCCATTCAAGGAACCATTCTGGAAGCTCCTGTCATGGGTTCGCAGCTGCTGTCTCCGACGACAGTCCGAGAAGTGCAGCTGCGAGACACGGAGATCGACGCAACAGGATCTGGCGTCTCGGGGTCTCTCTCGGTGACTTCTAGAGTCTCTCTCGTCTTGGAGGCTTTCTTTGGGGAGGGAGCTCCTCTCGTGGTCGAGGGGCTGAGAGTGGAAGCTGCAATTTTGGATCCGAAGAGTGGTGTGGCATTAGCAGTCGTGAAGAGCGTGCACTCTATGGCGGGAGCAGCGCGTGTGAAGGACGGCGATGTGGCTCTGGATCCCCCGGCGACGATAAGGGCTTTGCCGAACGGGCTGCTTTCTGCAGATCTCTCCATGAAGCTGCTGATGGACGTTTTAGACGAGGAAGCCTTTGCAGACTTTGCCGTGACTGCCATCCAGGGAACGGCGGCGACACAGATCCTGCTGGAGGGCACGGTGTCGATAAATTTGCAAACTCCTCTGGGCTTGCTTTCCTTGGAGGGGCTGCATGTGCGGCAGAGTGTGCCTATAGACGGCCTCAGTGCAACTGTGGGAGCCTTGACTGACGACAGCCTGCGGGTGCTCTCCTTCTCCGTAGAAGACGTGACGCTAGATGGCAGTGGGGGGCGAGACAGCTTGTCTTTTGTTGTGGATGTCATTGTGGGAAAAAATGCATCGCCAGGAGGATCTGACGACATGCAGATACGCACTGGGGCGCTCAGCTTCTCCCTCGTGGATGCCACTGACGGCCGCATTGTTGGGGAGGGGTCTGTGCCTGCGGCAGTTCTCGGAGGGGGTGACAGTCATCCTATGCGCATCTCTGGCATGCTTTATGCTCCGAGCGAGGATCGGCGGCGTGGAAAATCTCGCCTGGCGACGTTCATGAGCAAGGCCATCAACGGGGAGCCTCTTGGGGTGTACGTACACTGGAGAGACGACCCTTCAAATCCGAGACCCTCTTGGATGGGCCGAGTCGTGGATAGCCTGCACCTCAATCCAAGTATTGCAGGGTATGCGTCTTAACCCGATGCAGTTGCATCGCGTAGAGCCTTAGTGTCAGGGGTAAAGGCAGAGAGGGTGGCAAAGAAATTGCACGAAGTCTTAAAAGAAAGCAGCGGATGGGTAGCTCCAGTGTGGCTGCTGTTGCGTGTGCTGGGATACTTTTGACTCTCGGGTGTTGCGAAGAGGGGACATAAGTTGTTCGGCACAAAGCGTTGCTAGTTGGAGATTGGGGGGATGTAGCTCATCAGGAGGATGTCAAAAATAGGGTGTGTCGTGGTTTGCTGTGTAATTTGCTGTGTAGTTTGCTGTATAATTTGCTGTGTAATTTGCTGTGTAGTGTGCTGTATAGTTTGCTATGTAGTTTGCTATGTAGTTTGCTGTGTAGTTTGCTGTGTAGTTTGCTGTATAGTTTGCTATGTAGTTTGCTGTGTAGTTTGCTGTGCAGTTTGCTGTGCAGTTTGCTGTGTAGTTTGCTGTGTAGTGTGCTATGTATTGTGCTATGTAGTTTGCTGTGCAGTTTGCTGTGTAGTTTGCTGTGCAGTTTGCTGCGTAGTGTGACGTAGTGTTCTAAGTAGGTTGCTGTATTTTTTGCTGTGTCGCTTGCAGCTGTTGTTGGTTTTTGGAGGTTGCGTGTTTTGGCGTGTGTAATGTGGAGTCTCTGCTGGGGCGAATGGATGCGATGGGTTGCGCAGGCTTGAAACGTCTTTGAGTTTGTTGGAGAGTTTAGGATTTAGGGGGCTGAGGATAAACACGGAGACACCTGATGCGGTTGGGGTGTCTGCGCTCGTGGACGTGACGTTGAGGAGTCCATTGGGTTCTCAAGTGCCTTTGCATTTGGATAAGGTGTCGGGGATTGTCGAGCTTTTTGGTTTGGAAGGAGAGGGTTCCCCGATGGCGGCTTTGGCGATGGAATCGCGCAGCCCTTTGGCACAGGTTCAGGAAGGGGATGTGTTGCATGTGACGCTACAGCTGGATCAGACTCGAGATTCTCTGCGGTTATCGGACGAGGGTCGTGCCTTTGCAGACTTTGTGTCGCATCAAATAAACGTTGGACCCTCGCTGCTCATGTATAAGGCTCGCGTTTCGGCTGTTGTGCAGTCTCCCTTTGGCATCCTTGCAGTCTCCGATTTCGAGGTGAAGGGTCACAGCAGTTTGCTGGAGGGAGGTTCTGTGGATGCGAATGGCAGTGCTCTGTCTGATATCGAGTTTACCGTCGACGGGATTGAGTTCGAGCCTCCTCCGGATGGCAGGAAAGCCTTGGGTTTTTCTGTCAGCGTGGAGCTCCGCATTCCATTGGATTTGAGCATGCATCTTGGTCCAGTCGCCTTCCAGCTGCTCTTTGATGCGACTGCTGCTGACCTTGTTGGAGACGCGACGCAGGAAGGAGAAGATCCTGCGACGTCGCAGTCTCTTCGAGAGGAGTTGTTGTTGTCGCCAGGCGTGGTCTCCTTGGGAGTCTTAGAGGTTCCTGAGTTGAAGCTGCAGGGCGGGGAAGCGCGTCTGACGGCTCGTGGGTATATACAGCCTGCGCAGGAGGATCTTCCCTACGTCTCGGCGTTTATTTCTCGCTTGCTGAGCAGCGCATCTCCGGACGTGGTGCTGAAGGGGCTGAGTGCTTCTCTTCCTGGGGGGCAGCCCGCTCCTGAATGGCTGCAGTCTGCCGTGCGAGGGATCATTGTGTCTGCGCCTTTGCCTCCCGTGAGCTCCTTGGTAGCTTCGACTTTCTCCGACTTGCGGCTTGAAAACATGAGGCTCAAGGCGCTTCCTGCAGGAGAAGGCGAAAGCGGGGTTCAGCTGGGAGCCACCATCGAGACTACCGTCAAGAATCCGCTGGGGGAAGGTTCTCCGATCAATATCAAGCGCATCGGTGTGGACATACAGCTGTTCGAAACGGAGCAGTCGTCTGGAGAGGCAGAGGAGGAGGGGGAGCAACAGCAGCAGGAGCAACCGCAGCAGGAGCAGCAGCAGCAGCAAGAGATGCTTGGAGAGGAAAACGGGGGGGGTTCTCCAGCGCGGCGTCTGCAGGAGAGGCCTTTGACAACAAGTTCTTCTGGGGAAGCCTTCGCTCTCGCCTCGAGACGTCTGATTGGACGCTTGGTGGTGCAAGAGAAGGCTGTGCAGCAGCGGGGGTCTGTAGTCGCCATTGAAGTGTCTGAGACGCTTGCGTTCACGGATAGCGGAGAGGCCTTCTCCTCACTAGCCCTTGAAATGATGCAGCACACAACTGCGATTCGTGTGGGGGTTCTAGGCACTGCGTCGGTGCAGCTGGAGTCGATCATTGGCGAGCTGCACCTTCACGGAGTGCCGCTGCACTCCGTGGTGTCTATACAGGGCCTAGGCCTCTTCCAGGCTGACACTCTCAGAGCGCTTGCGAAGTCAGCGCTCGAGAACCTCCGCATCTTCGATCTGCCGCCCAGCACTGCGCGAGCGGGTGGAACGGAGGACGTGCTTGTGGCTAGCAGCAGCAGTTGGAGCAGGAGCAGCAGTGACATTCCTTTCGGCAGTAGCGTGGGCGCAGGAGCACTGACTTCCCCGCGGCTCCCCAGAGCGTTAGCCTTGGAAACAGTGGTGCAAATGCCAGCCTCGAAGGTGGCAGTAGATCTGAGCAGCCTGGTGTTCACAGTTGGATTTGAAGGCGAGGCGCTAGCTGCAGTCGTGGTGCCTTCCATGCAGCTGAAGGGGGGCGGGGGGGACGGCGAGTTGGTTGGGCTCACGGGGGTTGTTAAACCGACGAGCAACGCCTCTTTTTCGCGCCTGGCTTCGAGCTTTTTCAAGGGGAGCAGCTACGCAGTGCAGATCGTGGGAGCTCCAGAGGCGTTTGAAGCCTCCGCGAGCTCAACGCACGGACTGGCACTGACGTTCTCAGGCATGAGGAGCACTGCCATGCCTCCGCTGTGGGTTCGAAGGGTTCTCGCGGGAGTCTCCTTCGAGGTTCCCGTGGCGCGTGCTGTGGAGGGGGGCCCCTCTCAGGCGCAGAACCTCATGAGAGAAGTTCAGGTGCTAGGCGTGGATGTCGATATGTCTGGCTCAAGGAATCCGTTCGTGGAAGTCGACTTCGTGGCGTCATACACGTTCCCTCCTCAGTTCAACGTCAGACACAAGGTATGAGGGAGAGACAGCGGGAAGAGGGGGGGGGAAGGAGAGCTCGCTCTGTATTCTGAGGAGGAGGGAGGTTCGATGGAGGGGTTCGGACTGTGCAGCCTCGCGTAGTAGACGCATGACGAAGAGCGTGGTGTGGCTGCTGTAGTCTTGAAGGAAGCAGTTGGGGAGACGTAGTGGCGAGTCGGCAGCACAGGAGGAGGGAGAGGGGGGTAGGGGCAGGGGCTTTGCGATTTTTGCTTTTCCCCCAGATTTCAACTGGCTCGGAGGGTGAACTCGATGATTTTTTAGAGGAAGGGGGGTAGAGGAGAGGGAAGCTTGCTGCAGCGGTGTCGGTGTATGAATTGTTGTAGAAATGCGCGTGCGTGTGGTTTAAGCCAGTGGTGTCGAGAGGGGTCGCGTTCTCGTAAAAAGGTGCAAGACTGGCGAAATGTAGCGTCTTTTTCGTGGTTTTTCTGCCCTCCGCATGCAGGTGCAGTCCATGGAGGGAGAGCTGCTGCTGCATACCCCTGGATCGACAGAACCTGTCGCTCAGTTGGTGGTAAAAGACTTGGTAGTGCTTGGGCAGGAGCCCTCTGCGGCAGACTCGCGTCTTCACGTGGAGTTGAGACCTACGGAGCTTGTGGTGTTTTCTGGTAGAGAGAAGACTTTCTCGCAGCTCGTGCAGGATACAGTCAACTCTTCAGATAGCCTCTCTGTTGATGTAATGGGAGACATACGTGTCAGTGTCGAGACTGCTGTCGGCTTGCTCACCGTTGCCATGCCAGTGCAAGTCACGCAGACGATTCAAGGTACGCCTTGGTGCTTTGCTCCCAACTGGATAGGATACGATGGATTTAGATAGAATACGATGGATTTAGATAGAATAGGATTTGGGGGGAAGGCATCTGAATCATCTAATTGCTTCCTTTTTTGTCTTTTTGCCTCCCTTGCCTCCTTCTCTTTCTCCTCCACCGTCCCTCGCCCTCCGTGCCCTCCAGTCTGTCTTTACACTGCAGCAGCAGCAGACTGCTGGAGGTGTATGGCCTCTGCAGCCTGCTGGGCATTAGAGTGAATTTGTGTATTTAGTGGGGTACCCTGTTCGCCACGGCGTGTATGTATGTGTATGTGTATATGTGTATGTGTATATGTGTATGTGTATATGTGTATGTATGTATATGTGTATGTACATATGTGTATGTATGTATATGTATGTATGTGAATGTGTATGTATATAATATATATATATATATATATATGTATATACATATATACATATATATACATATATATATATATATATATATATATATATATATATATATATATATATATATATATGTGTCATCTTCTCCTGTGTATATGTGTGTTTGTATCTACATATATATATATATATATATTTGTTTGTTTGTGGTGTTTGTACACTTTCAGGTCTAGGGGGCCTTTCGGGGTCAAGCGTGTCTTCCTTCTTCGAGCTGTCGGAAATGACGGTTGTTGGAGCAGACACTGAATTTCTGGATGCCATGGCGAAGCTGCGGCTGCAGATGCCGGGGGACGATTGCATCTTGGGAGTCAACTTGGGCCCTATCATCCTCGACGTTGATCTGCCCATTCCTGCAGACGAGGTGTCTCTCCTGGAGGATCTGGATGAGGAGTTCAGGAAGCACAACGTAGTCAAGTCAGACAGTCTCGGGCCGCTTGTTACCACTGGCCTTGTGAAGCTGCCTCGACTGATGATCCCCTCCCCTGCCAAACGGCGCAAACAGCTGCAGCAGATGAAGGAACAGGGTCTAACAGGCGAACTCCCCGCAGACACAGTTGCAGCTTTCCTCTTTCCCCCCGTCAAAATTGAGGGTCTTGAACTGAGAATGGGCACTCCGCAGCTCATGTCCAACTATCTCAATGGTGTTCCTACTACGCTGGTTGTGAAGAGCAACGCCAGCACCACAAAAAACGAGCTCCTTATTCCTTTTTTCGACACTTTTCGAGTAGAAACTGTTATTCAAGGCACTGATAGGGCCTTCATCAAAGAGGTCCTGATAAGCGTCAAGGTAGGTCGGTGGACCTATCGCGCCATGCCACGTCGTCTTGCTGCAAAATATGCGTGTACATATGTGAATATGTGTACATGCGCATGTGTATGTACATGTATGTGTACATGTGCATGCATGTGTTTGTGTTTGTGGGTTTTGTGTGCGTTTGCCCTTGATAAGCCTCTTTTTGGAGCGTTTTTTCTCACCATGGAGAGGGGCCTTTTTAGGACGCAGGAGGCGTCTGTCTGTCTGTGAGGGGGGAGAGGCGGATGAGCAGTCGAGGGATGTTCTTCATAGAGTGTATCTTCGACCGTCATAGCGTGTGCATGTTGCGTCTATTTTCTGTGTGGCTGCAGCTCCGCAATTTCCAGCCTGCCTTTGAGGCCATAGCGGTCTTTGAGAATCCCACGGGCGCGACGGTGAAATTCAAGTTTGCTAAACTGGAGACGTTCTATAATGGGAGGTGTGTGAAGCCTGTCGCGAGCAGATGTGGCTGCCTCAGCGGAGTTGCATCTGAGTCGGAGGGGTGGGGGGCGAGAGACAGAGACAGGGAAGGGGGCTTGTTGCAAGAGGACGAGAGTGTAGCAAGGTGGCTTTCAAAAAAACAAAAGTGCTAGTTGCTATATATATGTATATGTATATGTATATTGAGAGAGAGAGACTGAGACGTTTGTGTGTGGGGGAAGCACCTGCCTCCAGGCAGGCAGATGGTGTCTTCTTTCATGTGCCCCTGAATAGCTGTCCAGTTGAGAATTTCGATGGGCAGAGGAGGGGGAGGAAGGGGAGAGGATGCATGTCGCTCCCCATATTTTAATTTGGCAGAAAGCGGAGGAGGGGTGTTGGGGAGGGGGCAGAAGGGGGAATTTGTGTCTTGGTAGGGATCGACGCGACGACGGTTTGGGACTGCTGAACTTTTCTTGCAGGGGGTTTGTGTGTATTTGCTGCATGCGCCTGTCTCGCATGGTGGTGGTTGTGTCTGTACAGCTCGTTGGGTCCTATGGTGATCGACAAGCGCGCGCATCCAGACATCATTGAACCTAACAAGATCAGCAAATCTTCCCCAGTCCCAGTCCAGCCGCAGCTTAAGGGTGGCACCTTCGCTCTTGTCCACAATATTCTCAAGAGGTTGGCAACTAACAGCACAGAGAAGCCGACTGTTCAGGTGAGAAGGCGCTCCTGAAATCCCTCTCTTGAGGGTGTGCGCTTCTCCACGTTTAGGGTCTGTTGTCTCTCATGTATTCTGCCCGCACCCCTGCAGTCAGTCTCTCTTTTGCCGCCGCCTTCGCCAGCCGCTTCGCGCGGGGAAGTCTGCTGCCGCTCTCCTCTCGACCATCTCGTAGCTCAGGAAAGAAAGGAGGGAGACAAGTGTCGGGGGGGCAGGGAGGGGGAATCTTGCTGACGGCATGAGACCTCCCTCCGATGGTTCTGGGATTTCTGCTGGGTGTGCCGTGCATGCAGGCCCGAGGCGAAGTGCACATAGAAATAGGGGATTTTGCTTGTCGCTTAGATGTAGACATAAAGAACATTCCCTTGACCATTCCCCGCTTACGGTAGTAGCGCACTTCATGGCGAGAGCTGCGTCCCCTGCTGCCTTCGCTTCTTCATAGTAGGGCAGCGTTTTCTGAGCTCAGGCTGGATGTTAGGGTGTTTTTCTGTGTGTTGCTTCTGACTGTTGCGTTCTCTGGCGCGGTCTGACACGAGTGAGCGGGCGCTTTTCCTCTTGCTTCCTCGGGATGCGCATACGTCGTCGTACCTACTGCCCTCTTCGTTCGTCTGCATGCTTCCCTACTTGTTTATCGCCTAGCTAGTCCTACGGGGCTGGGCTTGTTTGTTCATACCCCAGGTCGATTGCATGCGTTGGCTCCCGAAGGCAGTGAATCCGCTTTCTAGGGTCGCGCCGGAGGGGGAGGGGAAAACGCTTATCTCGGTTGGATGTGACACGCGAGCTACATGCCCCCTGCACTCTATCTAGTGGATTTTAGGGGATCTCGCGACACAGGGTTCCTGCTGCTGAGCAAGTGCTGTATTCACAGGACCCCGTGTTCCCCAGGAATGCTCACTAATCGCTCCGCCCCCTCCCCAAAGCCGAATACCAGCGGCCACACCTTGTTGGCCACTGACGGCAGCTGTTTGCACTTTGTTTTAGAGTAGCAGTCTTCCATGTGCCAGGCTCTGCGCAGTAGGCGCAGAAGAAGGGGTTCTTGTGAGGCCCTGCTGCGCTCCTCTCGTGAGCAGCGTATCATGGATACGCTGCAGTCAGCACCCCTCAGCTCTTTCTTGATCCCTACTGATACAGCTTCCCAGTTGATTAGCAGCCGCCATCCCTCTGTTTACGAACAGGCCCACGGGGATCTGCTGCGTCTCGAGTTGCAGTGACGTCAACAGAACAAGCTGCACGGAACGTGTGCACCGAAGATATTTCTACCATGCTCGAGTCAGAATATAGGCATCTACATACATATATATATATATATATGGCAGTACCGCTCTTTAGGTCTTGGCCGCCGTAGGGAACAAGTATCATTCACAGGGTTTTTATTTGGGAAATAGTCAATTATTTAGAGAAAAATTGCCTCTAGATCGTAGCGCTGCAGGGCGCTTGCGTCATGCAAGGAACGATGCAACAGCGGTGCCAGCAGGGAGCCCGTCCCCCGTAGAGACAGCGCGCTGCAACCCACTGCCCCTTCTACCTCTACCACGGGATATTTGCACTGGACGGAAAAGGGGGCAGCGCAGCTGCAAATCCTGGGGGCAGGAACAGCACATCAAAGCTCAGAGGCCCTCTAGGGTCGAATGGTGGTGCGCTTGCTCGTGGTGTGCGTACACCCACAGTGACACTAACGCCAGTCGCTTTTAACGTCCAGTTCGAGTATTTTCTGGGGATCTTCAAAAGCAGTGTGCCCCTTGTCAAGGCTGGGGAGTGGGGCTATTTGCTTTGCAGGCTACCACACAGGCGTGCCTTGACTCAAAAATCCTGGTGTCTGGCGTTCTCCCTCCAGGGGAGCGTAGTGGCGCGGCTGTACAGAACGCTTGGCCCATCTCCTCGAGAGAACCGACGCAGTGCTTTTTCGGAAGAGCACACCAGAACGCATCTTTCTGCAGAGCCTGGTGTTCTCCTAACATCCCTCCTGCCCTGTACCGATGACCGATACTCAAGATTGGCTACAGAGCGATAGTGTGTACACTGCAATCTGAAATTTTTGTAGGGAGACATTTGACTTCGGATTCGCACACTGACTACTGTAGAAACTACTTGAGTTTTGATGAATTAGAATTCTCTCTTTTCCTGCCGGCGCTCCTCAGACTTCCTGTCAGGAGGGGAGACGCGTAGCTTGGGTGTGCGTATTTGCACTCTGGTCTGAGCGTTCACATTCCACTAGTTGCCCAGAACAGCAAGCAAAGAATGCGCGAAACCTTGCACCTTGTATCAAACAGGAATGAGAGAAATCGATTACTCAATGTTGTACCGATTCTAGGCTAGACACAAGCAGTGGACCAGGAAGCGCGCAAGTGTAGGCTGTCCCGCTACAAGCAGGGGTGTAAATAAGGTAAAGCTTCCATCCTGAAAATCGCAGCAGGGAGCCGCATCCTGCCACGTTTTTGTGCACCAACTCTACCTGCGCGCCGTGTGTGGCCTCACGGTGTAGCCTCGCCACTGCCAACGCGTGCAATTATTACCTTCATCTCCGTCGCTTGCATGCATGCCACCTATGCTTCACATGTCAGAGAGAAAGGGTCACTAGCGGTCTTCTACTCCCTGTCAAAGGGGGCCACTGGCGGCGTGCATCAGCCGCGCCCCTCTAAACCGGCTACTTGCTGCGCAGGAAGCTAGGGATATAAGAGGAACGGAGAGAGAGCCAGCGACAACGATGTGCTTCAAATGAAAACTCTAGCGCAAAAGTGAACACAAAACGAACCCCACCGATGACCGATGGCTCCTCTCTCTCTCTCTCTGCAGTTGTTGCCATACGTGTCTGAGAGCACCGATCCGCAACAGCATCCATGGCCCACGAACGCCAAGCCGATTTCTTTACACACTAGTCCCTACATAAAACTGCTACCAACGACACGAGCAGCAGCATATTACCCAGACACAGGAAGCGACAGCCGCCAGTTGTACGGCGGCGTTTCCCATTTAGCCACAAGGGAGGGCACTGCCCTTCTCAAGCGTTTCTGCGACGAGAGGCACCTGTCAGGCCGATATCTAGGTACTTTCGTCGCCTAAAACGAGCTACCACCAACACCTTGGCACAGGTGAGCTCGCAGCGCGTTCATGTTTTGTAGGTGCCTTGGTTCCTAGGTCACCTGCGGCTTGGAAGGAGGAGCAAGCCTGCTGTAGGCCTCCTCTTCCCACGCCTGTCTGCGGAACACCTTTCAGACCAAACATGCAGCACTATATCTCTACGAAATATCCGTATTGTGCCTCTTCTCATGAGTCAAAAAACCCCCACTGAGTCACACTGGTTCCTCGCCGGCTGGCAGCCCTCCTTGGCTCACCCACACGGACGCAGCTAGTATATGCAAATACAGCCGGTTGCGCGAGTCTCCAGCTTTTCCTCTATCTTTCGGCCATTGCGGAGTACAGACGCATCGGAGGCACCCGGGAGTTTCAAAAGCAGGGGATCGTTTCGGCAGTTTGAGTTTGTCGCTCTCCCTCTCGGGGAAACGCAGACGTGGCCGTTCTCGCTGCCGTGGCTCTCCTCGCATGAACGGGGGGTGGCAATTTTAGACGGCAGAGGCCTTGTTAACTCGCCGGCGCGCGTTAAAGGGAGCAAAAGTGCTTTCCAGTACAGCTGCTCATGCCGCGAAGTGTACAGACAGCCCAATGAGCGCCTCCTGAGGACGCGCAGTCCGCTGCAGCCGCAGCGTGCACCGACCCCGCAAACTGCCATTGCTGCAGCTTCTTCGGCTGCAAATAGCGGCGCCTAGCGGCTGTCGGTGTAGCCGCTGCGACCAGATGAACAGCAGCGACAGCTCCATGATGAGTTCTTGCAACGGGCTCAGTGGACGACCGCAAACACACCAGCCGAAGCCGTGCCTGGGGAAGCGTCTCAATGAGGCGAAGAACCTCCCGAGCACCACCCCGTCTGGCCCAGCGGCGAGCGCAGCAGGAAAAGCCGTGTGTTCAGTCTCAACGCTACATTGCCCTATTCTCCACCATCAGCAGCAGACGCTTCGAATGCCTCAGTTGTCTCCTCAGCAACAGCTGCGGACGCCGCTCCCTTCAGAGCGAAGGAGTCACCCTGCGAAATCCATGAAGTGGACTTGTCGTCGGGATGCACTGCCTCCGCAGCAGCAATTGCAGCAGCCCGTCTTCTGTGCACCGAAGGGAGGCCTTCCAGCCTTGTCTGCGATACGCGAGTGCGGAGAAAGGCAGCTTCTTTTGCCTGCTCCCGCAGCGGCATGGGCGCAGGTACACCGCAAGACGCATGACGCTCTACCACCAGCCGTGCAAGCTGAATCGCCTTCTTCGCGTGAAGGGCCCCTACCAAAGAGAGCAGGCACAAAAAGCAGCTCCTCCTCTTCGCCGAAAGCTCCAGCAGACGGCGCTGTATATCCTCCGTCTCCCTCGTCACGCTGGCGATCTAGAGATGACCTCAAGCTGGCTTTGAACTCATCAGGAGAGGAGGAGGTAGCGGCAGCAAAAGACGCAGCCCCAGCTACTGCAGCGAGCGCCTGCAGTGGGGCCAGTGATGTAGGGCAGCAGCTGCAGCAACAGCAGCAGCAACAGCAGCAGCAGCAGCAACAGCAGCAACAGCAACAGCAGCAGCAACAGCAGCAGCAACAGCAACAGCAGCAACAGCAACAGCAACAGCAGCAGCAGCAACAGCAGCAGCAACAGCAACAGCAGCAGCAACAGCAACAGCAACAGCAACAGCAGCTGCCGCCTGAATTCGTGGCTTCCCCCAGTTGCTTCGAGGAGGGGGGGGCGAGGAGGCATCGTCAGGAAGGCTGCTGCAAGAGGGCGGAATGGGAGGCTCAGCAGCAGACGAGCAGAGGTGTCGCAACGGTGAATGCATGTGGAGACCGTTTTGCAGGGGAGGTGGGGAAGGCTTTAGCGAGTGCCGCTGACGCCACTGTCTCTGTTGCTGCTCCGCCTTCTGCCCGAAGTGCAATTCGCGTCAGATCCGAGGAGGGAGAAGCGAGGAGGAGGCTGACAACAGCGGAGAGCTGCAGCGGAGAGGGAGGGCAGTCCTTGTGCAGTTCTTCGCCTTCTCCGTTGCTGCGGCGCTTGTCAGCGAGGCTGCTGACTGCCTTCTGCTGTCCTTTTCTGCCTCTAGGCTCCCTCGTAGCCTTCAGCTGCAGCTGCCAAGTGCTGCTGCAAGTCGCAATAAAGCACAAATGGGTAGACAAGGCTGTGCGCAGGGGGACCCTGCAGGAGCTGGCGGAGGAGTGCAGCTGCTGCCGCTGTCTCAGGAGGCGCAAGCGAGCGCAACGAGAGGCGGGCGCTGCGGAGTCTACGCAGGGTGACAGCGACACTTCCGAGGCAGACATCCGCTGCCATGCGGTGAGAAAGGCTGCGGCGGCGTTCCGGAGATCGAGTCGCAGCAGGAGCAGCAGCGGCATCTGCGACACGCCTGTGTCTCGCTCTCGTGCCTCCCCGGAAGCCTCCCTCTCTCGTGAAGTCTCCTCCTGGCGGGAGCGCCTCCAAGGCTCCCCTGCGGCTGACGCCTCTCCCGCGGCTCCGAGAATACAAGACCAGGAAGAAGATGTGGGGTGTGCATGCAAGAGACAGTGTCTGGTGCGCCTCAAGTACTGGCTCCTCTGTAGGGGCCGCGTGGAGCTGCTTTCTCAGCGTGTAGCGGAGGAGCTCGTCGAGGCGTTGAAGTCTGCGAGTGTCTCCGAGTCAGCGGAGGAGACTGTGCAGGAGCAGGGGGGTGAGCGCGCGCGAGCGACGGTATCAAACGCCTCGGAGCAGGCTCCCGCTCCCCCGTACACACCAGTCTTTAGAAGGCCGTTCTACTGGTGCAAAGAGTTGAGTCTCGCGGTACGCGCACAAGCCTCGCCATCAGCTCTTGCGCATGCTTCGGGGGATAGTGGCGTCTCGAGGCGCTGCTGGGCCCACTCGTCTTCGCGTGGCTTCCCCTGCGGCAGTTTCCTCCTCCCACCCCTCTGCTATTCCGTCTTCGACTGCCTGCTCGAAGCGGCGTTGCCGGAGTCGCGAGCCGATGAGATTCGTCGAGACGTCGGACGCACATTCCCCACGCGCTCCTTGTACGGTGTTTCAGCAACCCCAGTGCTCGAGCTGCGAGGCTTCTTGGAATAGACTGCGCTGCTGCCTCGGCTGTCTCTCTCTCGCCCTCCACGTGCTGCGCTTTCCGCCTCCAAGACTGACGCTGGCTTCGAGAAAAGGGGGCTTCGACACCCTCGTGGTGGCTTACTACACCCGTCCTAGAGCCTCTTTCTGCGTGTTTGATCTTGTTTTTTCGCAGCTTTGCCTCCGCTAGTGGCCAACAGAAGCTGTACGATGTCTTGCACGCTCTAGCCTGTCTCGATCCGCACACAGGCTACTGCCAAGGTAGGGCGGACGCCTCGGGAGTTTCCCCTGAGCTGCAACATCCTGCTCTCTATGGCACAAAAGGCCCCTCCTCCGCGCTTTCGTCCTCCACAGGGGGTTGTGCCAAGCCTTTTCTTCGCTGTTTTCATCGAGGGAGGCTTTATGAGGGGGGCAGATATTCAAGCGCACACCATTCAGCCGCTTGAAGGCGCATCAAAGAAGTTCACCCCGCAGCCTTCAATGCATTTTTTCGCAGGCATGAATTTCATGGTCGGCGCTCTCTTGCAACTGTGCGACACCAACCGAGTATATGCCTTTTGGGCATTCCTCGTCTTTCATCGAGCCATGGATTACCGCCTCCTCCACGAAGGCGGGATGCCACTCCTCACGACTCGCACGCGTCAATTCGACCAAATCTTCAAGTGCGCCACCTCTCCTGCAGCCGCATGCGCGCGCTTCCCATTAGTCGCACGACCAACGCCAACAATACACCCAGGGGGCAAGGGAGAGCAGCGTGTGAGGTCTGCCGGCTGAAACTCGGCGTGATTTCAGCAGACGGACTGGCAGGCATTCGTCGCAACGTTTCTGCGTTCAGACTGCTTGCTTGCTCGTTTTTCTCGAGGCTGTGCATTTTCGCAGACAGCATTTGCCGCGTCTCTGGAACCACTTGCACTGCCACTGGCTGTCCCTAAGCTTCTTCGCGACGCAGGTGAAAGGCTGCTGCTGGCACCCAGGTGTATGTACACTGGAAAAGGCGTGTTTTTTGGCGAATTTTTTTTCAAGAAAAAAAAAAACCGGCCCGCCTCCCATCCCGATGGCCCCCCTTCCGCAGCGCCTTGCCGCTCCAGTGCGCCTCCGTCTCCCTCTCTTCCATTCATGCAGCATGCGATTTTTCCGTCTGATGCTTTTTTTTCTGTGTCGCTCCTCCGCAGTGGCTGCTGGCCTCTTTCTCCGCCTTCCTCAATGCCTCGCTCGTCGGCTGCGTGTGGGATGTCTTCTTCGCCTCGGGTTGGAAGGCTTTGGCGCGATCAGCAGTTGCTGTTTTCTCCAAACTGGAGCCGCAACTGCTGCAACAGACTTCGCTTGACAGCATCATTGGGTGCATGCAGGTACGTGGCTCCGTGAGACTGCTGCTGCGAGAGTCTGAGCGTTGGAGTGCCCCGCGTAAGATGCCTTGTTGAGCAGACGAAAACGTTTCTGGAGGGCTGCTCTACTGCGTCTGCTCTTTTCCACCCGAACCACTGTCTGCCACGTCGGAAAACGGCAGCAACGCTCAGCAGTGGACTCGCTGCTGCTGTTCACTGCCTCCAGACGAGGATCTCTGCAGCGTGTGGTGTGTGTTTTTCTGCTTTTGTCCACCCAGCGCCGAAAGCATTCAACCCGTCTCAGCTCTTGTGGGGATTTGCTGCGGGCAGTGGCTGCCATTAAAGTAACCAACCGGGATCTAGCAGACATCTCTGTCTCGATGCATGCGGAACTGCTGCTGGTGAGAAATGCTCGCTTCAGTCACCGATTGTACCGGCGAAGGCTGCATGCAAGTCAAGAAGCCTCCTGTGGAGGACTGCCTCCCCACGCCTTTAGGAGAACCTCTCACCTGTGTGTCTCTCCCCCAAACAGCTGGCGCTTAGGTTTCTCCGTGCATTCTGCTTTGCCTTCTTGCGGTGCCTGCATTGCTGCATCGGTGCTAGCGGATGTTTTCTCGAAAGGTTTGCTTCCATATTAAGCGCGAAAAGCAAACGGTTTGACAGGCCTCCTTTCAGATGGCCGTCTATAAGGATGACGCTTTATTTCTGCTCATCCTGCTGTCTCTCTCTTTCTCTCTGTTTGTCTGTCAATCTATCTGTCTGTCTGTATGTCTGTCTCTCTGTCTGTCTCTATCTTTCTGTCTGTCTGCCTCTGTCTGTCTGTCTCTCTCTATTTCTGCCTGTCTCTGTCTGTCTTTCTGTCTGCCTCTGTCTGTCTGTCTGTCTCTCTCTATTTCTGCCTGTCTCTGTTTGTCTTTCTGTCTCTCTCTCTTTCTGTCTGTCTCCCTCTTTCTTTCTGTCTCTCTCTCTCTCTCTTTCTGTCTGTCTCCCTCTTTCTTTCTGTCTCTCTCTCTATTTCTGCCTCTCTCTCTCTCTCTGTCTGTAGCGAGCCACTCTTTTTTCATGTGTTCATACAAAGTGCGCGTATTTATACCCTCAGGAATTTCTGAGCGGCTTGCCAACATCCTTCAAGGCGCCACTACTACACCCACAGCATGAGCCAAGCACCACGCAGGGGCTAAACTTCTTTGTTGAGCGAGAAGACCACGGGAGTACATACAGCTCTGGCTGCGACGGCGCTGCAGATGCCTCGGTCGTTTGCTGCTGCTTTCTCTTGCGCATCCTTCTTCAGGAGCTGTGCCTGCTTGCCTGCTTGCCTGCCTGCCTCCCTCCCTCCCCCCTCTGTGTGTGTGTTGCGGGTGCTGCTGCTTGATGACAGACGGCTTTAAAGGCTCGATGCGCTGTCCTTTGGGGTTTTTGGCAGCCATCTGCTAGTTGAACAGTGTGTATGTATGTGTCTGTGTGTATGTATGTGTCTGTGTGTGTGTATGTATGTGTCTGTGTGTATGTGTGTGTGTATGTGTCTGTGTGTCTGTGCGTGTGTCTATCTGTCTGTCTCTATCTCTTTATCTGTCTCTCTATCTGTGTTGACGCAGCTGTTTCAGGTGTCGGAATTCCCCAACTAAGCTCCCTATATGGATGCATCCTACCAGAAGAGGCGTTGGCTGTTGAGGGGTACCTTCCTTTGAGCGGCAGCAGTCCTCGGCTCAGCAAGCACGAGAGGAGCAGCGAGTCGAGGCTTTCAGAGAGCAGAAATTGCAGCAACTCCGCGTGGTTAGCGCTAGACTTGCGAGGCTTGTTGACGCGGCAGTATCTGTGGGAAGGCACTTGGGTTCATGAGAGGCTATTGGGGGGGGCGAGTCTCCTGAAGCCTTTCGCCATCTCAGACTCCTTGAGGGATCTTTTCGTCAAGTGCTGCAGCGCAGATCCAAGCCTACCCACCCGAACGCTACGCGGGAGTGCAACAGCATCGGGGGAGGTGGAAAGCGGTGTCTGCGCTGCTGCTGCCGCTGCTGCTGCTGCTGCTGCTGCTGCTGCTGCTGCTGCTGCTGCTGCTGCTGAGACGCGCAGGCCTGTAGCAAGGATTCGTCCTCCTGCATCGCCCCTTCAGCCCTCCGAATTGAAGGAGCGCTCGCTGGCTGGACCGTGTTATCACCCACACGCCTGGTGCAGCAGCAGCAGCAGCAGCAGTCTTCCTGGGAGCGGCTCTCGAGAATGCACGCGGCGTCTTGAAGGCTCAAGCCGCCTCGATTCTGGCACTCCTCGTTACTGCGTGTGGTCGGTATCAACGGTGCTGACGGCGAGGGAAGCGCTGCAACGACTTGACAGGGAGATGCGGAGCGACTTGTGCGTATTCCAGAAGAAGGTACAGACAGCCGAGCGACAGAGGCAGCAGCTGCACCGCACTCTGCACAGGCATCAGCAGAAGCTCGATCGTCTGCTGCTCGAAGAAGAGGCAGCAGTGCAGCAGAAAACTGCCGCGGCAGCGGAGCTGGAGGCAGCCCTCGTTGCTTCAGGAGCTAAAGTGCCGCAGAATGCCTTCGCGGAAACACTTGCCTGTCTCTCGCCAGCAGCAGCTGCTGGAGAGGGCCTTCCCCGAACTGCCGCAGCAGCGGCTGCTGCTGCTCTACTTCCCCCTGCCGAAGTGTCTCTCGCGAAAGCAGCAGAGAGAGAGACAGTCGCGGCGTCTGGCTTGTCTGCGGAAAGCGCAGAAGACACAGACGGAACGAAGGCCGACTGCGCTCGCGCGGTGACGCGACGACGAGGGGAAGTCGAGGGTGAAGGAGGCTCAGTAGCAGCAGCACAGGCTTCTGCGGCAGTGGCGACAGAAAGCGGGGAAACAGTCTTGGATCCAGCCTCTCTGGGGAGAAGAAGGCATCATGGAATTCGCGCGGTGCTGACTGCCGTGCGCTGGTCGTCTAGGAGCGCGTCAGCCAAGCAAAAGAGCCGGAGACACTCATGCATGGCGCAGACGACGACGACAACGACCCCTTCAAGACAAGCGCAGTCGTGCAGACAGCGGGAGGCTTGCCGAGGGGGGCAAGAGGCGCATGCTGGAAACAGCCTGCCCGCCGAGTGCAGGGAGAAACAGAATGGAGACGAGGATGGCATGGAAAACGCGAGCAGCAAAGAACTCCACCGAAGCGAGGCAATCGCAGCAGAGGCGAATCGTGGACGGAGCAGCATTTGCAACAGCGCCAGCAGCAGCTGTCGAGGCAAGGCGCTGCTCCCCAACAGCCGTCCATGGGAAGCGAGGGAGCAGTCAGAAGACGTTGGAGACAATTTCAAATCCCACAGTCGATTTGGAGGCGCCTACGCAAGGAACTTGACGGGGCCGCTCTTGAAGAAGGTGGGCTTTTTTTTTGAAAAAAAAAATGCCTTGCCGAAAAATAATCCTCGCCGCCGCTGTGATCCTCTTGGGGAACCTTAATAAGACGTACAACAATTGCGTTTTCGTGATGAGGTCGCCTCAGGTTGCTGCCTCTGAGCGGCTCTCGTCAAGGACCAGGGCAGCAGTGCTGCAGCAGCGGGAGGTTTGCTACGCGATGGCAGTGGATATCCGAGAATTGACGGAAGCGAAGAACAGGTGCCTCAGACTCCTGTGTGCCTTGTGTAATTATCCCTCGTTTCTTGCTCTTTCCTGTTGTGCTCTCACGTGCCGTTTCTCCCGTACATTCTTTCGAATTCCGAAGTGCCACTTCTTGCCGCTTACGGACTCACCCCGTTCAGCCAGCTACGGCGCAAAAGGCTTTGCGCATTGCGTCTCGGCACAGGCGCGCTTCTCTGTTGAAGGCTGCGCGCGCCGTCGCTTCTAGTGGCGACTGCGGAAAGGGAGGGAATGTCACAGAGGGAGGGAGAAGGAGGGCGTCCTGTACAGTTTTTGGCTCAGTCTGCTGTGGCTTTGCAAGCGGTGAAATTTGTGTTCTCCGAACTGGCTCTCCCGAGCTTGGCTGTGCCACACTGCTTCCCGTCCCTCCTCGCTGCGTGTGACTGCAGGATGCAGCTCTCCATGAGTACTTTCATTGAATGCCAAGAAGACAAGCGAAGAGGCCTTGCACGAAATCTGCTTCAGCAGGCTCTATGGCTAGGGGTTCTCCCGTGCGCTGCCTCCGCAGTGGCGCCAAAGCCGCTGCAGCAACTGTTGGCGACTGAGCCTCGCAGCCACTTTTTGGGAAAGTAGGCAGTCCCCTTGGCCTCATCCGTTCCCTGTGTGCTTCCAGCCTTTCCACTATTCTGGCAAGCTCAAACGCGCTTCTGTTGACTGTGGGCTTTAAACCCGCGGCTAACGTGGCAGCTCTTGGCCTTTTTAGCTTGTGTTTGCACTCTGGGAGGCGGTCTCCCTGGCGTTTAGTTGTGGCGCTTGTGCATTCGTGGTGGGAATGAAGGCACTTGTAACTTCCATAGGGGGGAGATAGAAGAGACCAAGCCCTCCCTGTCAAGCCTCTACTGAGGCTTCATAATAAGAGAGGACACAGGAGCCGTGGCTTTGGCAGGAGGGCGCAAGAAAAGTCTTATTTAGGCGCTCACTCTACATTCTTTGGTAGTGGCAGGGAAACCTCTACAGCTCTTCCGTACGCTGCGCTTTTTATGCGCCCATCTAGACTCCTAAAGATAAAACACCCACGAGCCCAACAGAGGGGGAGGAGAAGTGGAGGGGGAAGGGGGGCTAAGGGGTTCCCCCCCCTCCCTCTCCCCCCGCGTACATATAGCCTTCTTAGGTGCCTTTATGTCTGGGGTGCAGTACCCCTCCAAATCAGCCGAGCTCAAGACATGCAAGGTGACCATCATCCCCCCCCGCAAGAATAGCCGACGTAGTGGCTATTCCGTCGCCGCCTTCAGACGGCATTTTCTCGACCGTTCTCACAGTCTGCACAGCTCCCCGACTGCTGCACCCGTACCCCCAGCATGCAGCTGCCCCCGAAGGCACCCGCTGGCGGGAAAGGGGGCCCCCTCCCTGTACACCCCGCTGGCCAGCCATCATGTCGAGCAGGTAGAGGGCCCCGTCTGCTGCACCTGCACAAACGAGGCCCGCGCAGTCATCCAGGGGGGCCCCACAGAGGAGGCCCCCCCTCCCTGCATTGACGGATGCCACCGGGCGGCAGCAGTCCGAAGGGGCCCCCCCTCCCGAAGGGGGGCCCCTGCGCCCCCCGTTCTTCGCTGCCTTGACGCACCGAAGGTCCCACAGCTTGCAGCACCCATCGGCTCCCAGAGTGCAGAGCGTGGAAGCAGCCAGAGCACCGCCTCCCCCTCCGAGGGGCAGGAGAGTGTTGATCGAGGCAGCATGCGCTTGCGCCGAAGACACGGGGGAGGGGAGACACCGCAGATCGAACACGCATAGCCGTCCATCTGCCCTCCCGCCGGAAGCCAGAAGCGGAACAAAGCCTCCCCCGCAGCCGCTGATCGGCGCTTCTTCCCTTCTCGCCGCGAGGGGCAGGAGCAGCTGAAGATCCCCAACGGCTCCCCTGTGGGCGGAGGGAGTCTGCGCAACGATTTCCCCCGCGTTGAGATCCCACGCAGTGATCGCCCCCTTCTTGCTGCCAGCAGCGGCGAAGGCGTTCAGCCACACAACCTGGAGCAACGGGGAGAGGGCCCCTAGAGCACCCGGCTCCCCCACATCCACTGCGGGAAGCTCGAGCAGCTGCCTTCCCCTGACGAGACTCCACAGACGAAGCGTGCCATCGTAGCCGCAAGAGGCACCACGCATGCCGCGAACAAGCACCTGGCTTACACCTGCAAGATGCCCAGGAGCAAGTTCCTTGCAGCAGCGCGCAGGGTTTGTGCTCGCTTTGCAGACTGCCGTTGCTTCGGGAAGGCAAGCGGGGTAGGGGTTCTTCAAGGCAGCAGCAGCAGCAGCAGTAGCAGCAGCAGGTGTGGTCGGCTGCTCCTGGGAGGAGGCTGCGCGAGTGAGAAAAAGTGCTTTCCTCGAGGCGACTCCCCGGGAGGAGACAGCGCAAGGGCTCGTGCGAGCGCTTGCCTTCTGCTGCCACAAACAAACCTTCCCGTCCATGCCTCCCGAAAGCAACTGACCGTCCTCGCAATACGCACACGACGTCACCCAGTCAGAGTGACCACCCGAGGCACCGTACAGCTCACACACAAGCGACCCCTCCGCTTCCCCCCCCGGAAGAGCAAACACACGGATCCCCCCGTCTGCGCTGCCCGTAGCGCAGTACTTTTCTGAGAGATACACAGACACACAGCAGACAAAAAACAGCACACAAAAATACAGCATACAAAAACCGGGAACAAAAAAACAGCAGACAAAAAAACAGCAGACAAAAACCGGGAACAAAAAAACAGCAGACAAAAAAACAGCATACAAAAAAACAGCATACAACACACACAAGCACGCAAAAAAGACGAATCCTCAAGAGCCAGAGGAGGATGCAAAAAGCTTAAAAACAGCAAAAAAGGCGCTGTACCCCCAGCCCTCAAAGACAGCTAGCTACGGGAGAATCCCTCTTCTTCTTCTCCCCGCCTCAAGAAAAGCGCCTCGCGAAGCACTGGGGAGAGGAGGGAGGAGGGTAGGAGGAAAAAAGATCACGAGAGAAGAAGGCACAAAGCGTCAGGACGGGTGGAGCGGGGGTGGGGGGAAGAAGCCTCACTTGAGGGGTGTACATCCACGCAGAGGATCGACCTGTCATGCCCGTTGGGGAGAACGGCTGCAGCAGTTGGACCTGTCTGTACAGCTTGAACATTCGCCACTGCGCAGAGAGTGCGACAGGCAGGGACGAAGTCTGAAGGCGTCTCTCCCGGAGCTGCTGTGGGTTGGTCAGAAGGTCTGTGGGGAGTTGGCAAGCCAGGCTGTCGGCGCTGCTGCGTCGACTTTGTGCTCGAGAGGGCAGCAGCAGCTGAGGCTTCTAGACAACGGGGTGTACCGGGGGGTGGCTGCATTGTTTCAGAGGGTACGCAGCTTTCCGTCCGGCAAAACGCAGCCAGAAAAACTCGGAAGTGAGAAGAGTCGGCCGTTTCTGTTTAGTAGAATGCAGACTTCCTGAGGGAGGAAGGGGGGAAGCGCAGCGATGGAGACGTCGGAGGAGTAACAGGCGCTACTGCAACACGCCTTTGAGAGGGGAGCACTCGTGAAACGCGCAGAAGGGGGAAGGGTTGTTGCTGTTGTGGCTGTTTTTGTTGTTGTGCTTTCTCTTTTTTGCTGGAATGCAGTAGAAGAAAGGGAGGTGAGGAGGGGCGGTGCTGCTGCTGCGGTGAACTGCAGCTTTTCGCTCGTGGATTTCCAGTGCAGATAAACACGCAGAAGCGAGGCTTGCCTCCCCTCCAGAAGTTGCGAGAGAGGCTCAGGGGGGGAGTTCCCCGCTAATCTGGGTATGTATGTGGAGCATGAGAGAGAGAGAAGGAGAAAGAGAGATCGGGAGTACAAGGGATGCCGTGCCGCCCTTGTGTGTGTGTGTGTGTGTCTGTGTGTCTGTGTGTAAGAAAGATGTACAGAGAAAGGTATCTACCCACACTCCGCAGGAGAAACAAGGATCCTTTCATGCGCAGCTGACTCCCAAAGCACCGTCCAGTCGATGAAACAGAAGGGTTATTAAATATATTGGCAGGCAGTAGCGTTACAGGTTCAACACACACCCGCACGAATACATAAAAAACACCTGCACACACATACTCATACGCATATACATGCTCATATACATGCTCATATGCATTCATATATACATATCTATACATACATGCGCTGAAACACCCCCAGGCACAATTAGCCCCCCCTAGACACAGAAAAAGAGACGCAAAGTTTCTTTCCTTGTTAGCTCGAAGTGCGGCATGCAAGAGAGGCGGGAAATGCGAGACTAGCTGCTAGCAGCCACAGCTAAGACTCCTTCTGGTTGTGTAATCCAGTGAACGGAGGGCCCCCAAAGGCGCAGGAAAGAAGGAGGGAGGGCCCCTTCAATGAAATTTTGCAGCTGCATGCTGCACGCTGTTGCACCGCTGCCGCCACAGCAGCAGCAGCAGCAGCAGCAGCAGCAGACCCTGCAGCTTGCGCTTTGCTGCTGCTGCTGGAGGCGCAGCGGAAGCTTTGCAAGGCATGATAGATACACCCTCGCACATGGCATTAAAACATATTTACGAGGCAGCCTTGAGAGGAGAGCGCGACTGCGGGTAAGACGCCCTCTTACCTCTCTCTACAGATTGCAGCAGATCTCGCAGCTGCCGCTGCAGCAGTTGCAGGCGCGACGGCAGCAGCGCAGTAGAGAGGAACCACACAACGAGTGACAGTGGTAGCAGCGGCGAAAAGGGCTTTTTTCTGTCTCCGATCTTTCGCATTTCTTAGGCCGTGTTGGATTGTTTCGCTGTCTCGAGGGAGGAGGGAGAGCTCCTCTCATTAGTAGCGACTGCTGCTGGGGTAGCGGTCGGAACGCGGACGGAAGGGCCCCCTCTGTCTGCCGACGCCTCTCTCGTGCAATATTCAATCTTTTTGCTTTTTGTAGCGACCAGTAGCTCTCATCAGCGCTCCATTATTATTAGGGGGGCAGCAGCAGCTGCGCGCCATGCCCGTCCAAGCGAGAACGACGACGAGCAGGAGCAGGGGGACTGACTGACTGTCTGACTGACTGTCTGACTGACCGTCTGACTGACCGTCTGACTGACTGTCTGTCATCTCATCATCCTGTCATCTCATCATCCTTTAAGGAATCTGCGCGCCTGTGCCGCAGGGCAAAACGCTGCACCGCAGCTTCGCATGCCACACTCCCGCCTCATGAGTCTCCTCAGCACCCAGCGATGCCTCAGGCAGATCTCCTAGGGGGCAGCTTTTTGCGTCCCCTCGCCGAGCAGCTCCTGCTGCGGCAGCAGCAGCTGCTCCAGGAGGAAGAATCGGAAAGACGGGGAGGCGTTCAGACGGCAGAAAGTCTGAGAGAGCTTGTGCTGAGAGATGAGCGGCTCAGGCTGCAGCAGGCAGTGCAACAGCTGCGACACGAGCAGCAGCTGCTGCACGACCAGCAGCAAGCGCTGCAGCAGATTCACCGTCTGCAGCGGCAACAGCAACGCCTGCAGCAGCAGCAACAGAGTCTGTATTTGCAGCATCATCAGCATCAGCAGCATCAGTACCAACCACTCCGGCAGCAGCAGCAAAAAGACGCCTCTCCACGAGCGACAGTGCGATGGAAGTCTGCGGATAGCGCCTCAAACCTGGGAAAGAACGTCACCCCTTCCCCAATTGTAGCGACACCTACCTCCACAAGTCGCCAGCAGCAGCAGCTCGATCTGCACAGTGGCAGCTTCCGCAGCGATTTTCGAGGGCACTACGACTCAGCAGGCCCCCTGCCAGCAGCAGCAGCTGCTGCTGCTGCTGCTGCGGAGGCTTCTCGCAGTGCTGGGGGGGAAAATGGAGCACCTGCAGATCCTTCTGCTGCTGCAGACGCAGGAAGCCTCTTGCAATCGCATGTAGGGAGGCAGTACTTTCCGCTCGATAGCGCTTCGCCGCGATCTCTTTCTGCACGGAGAGCTGTCGCCTCCAGGGGGGAATCGACAGGCGCAGTCGCTGCTGGTGGTCTTACTTCGGATGCATCCCAGACAACAACAACAGCAGCAGCAGCAGCAGAAGCAGCGATTTCGGAGGGAAACAATGCAGCTGCGTCTTCAGAGGCAGCTGCTTTACGGCCTCCTCGACTTCGCCTGCCTCTCGGAGGGGAGAGATCCTTCCACGACGTGTCGCTTGACAGCGACGGTTGGGCACTATGGAAGGAGGCAATAGGCTGGCAGCTGGGTTTGACGCCGAACAGTGCGGAGCTTGCAGAACGAATACTCAGGAGAAAGGGCTCTCATCCCCAGCAGCATTCGCAGCAGCAGCAGCAGCAGCAGCAGCAGCGTCAGCGACAAGAGGTTCCTCCTGGACGTGAGGCATTGCAGACAGCCACTTTTGTAGAGCATCAGCAATCGGGGAGAAGTTTGGGGGGGGGAGGGGGGGACGGCAGTAGCGAAGAGGAGATGCGGAGATGTGATCTTCCAGCCTACAGGAGACAGCGTGTCGAGGAAGCTCGTCGCTTGCTCGCTGCGCTCTCTCCTTCTCGTGATTCAGAGTCTTCTGCAGCAGCAGCATCAGCAGCTGGAGCAGCTGCTGTTGCAGCTGCTGCGGCTGCTGTGGATCGGCACAGAGAAAAGGCGTCGCAATTTTTCGCGGGTGGTGTTGCCGGTGGGGTTGCTGTCTCGCTGGCCGCTGCGGCGGGGGCTGCCGCTGCGGCAGCGGCTGCTGCTGCGCTGCATGCGAATAGAAGAAACGCCACACGGGAAAGTGGTAATGCAATGGATGGGGGGCTTCTTCAGGAGGTCGAACTGGTGAGGCTGCGCGCATATATATGTATATATCAGCTCTGTTGGGAAAAAGCAAAAGGGGGGGGAAGGGGCAGATGGAGCGGCGACGGCATGCCGCTTCATCTGCGGTGTCTGTACACCTTCTGAGCAGGCCGCCTCGAGGCGGCCTGCACTCCCCTTTCGCCTTTTTTTCGAATGACTGCATGCAACATTTAAAGTGATTTCTATTCGTGCAACCGGGTGTTCTTGCTTGCCGCTCGCTTGGATCTGAATGCAAGCACTTTTCTGCTCGTGTGTCTCTGGAATGCGGTGAAATTCTCAGTCCTTGGCTCCACCCCTAGGGCTTCCTGTGCAGCCGCAACTCGTGGAAGTGCAAGAGCGAACGCCTCCTCCCTTGGGAGCTCCCCATCTCAGGCGCCCTTTCGACCTCTTTAAAGAATTCCGCCGAAGGCAGCTGGAGGCGTCCTCCAGACAATCACGAAGGGAGGCGGAAGGTATGCGGAGTATGGGAAAATTAGCAGTTGCTGTCATTATGCACTCTCGAGGGAAGTGCCGTTCTGCGGTGGAAGTACTCCGGTGACCAGTCGGGAGCTCCCTTGCGCTAAAACTCTTCCCCCCCTCCCCCCCTCACTTCTTCACCTCACTTCACTTCACTTCACCATGCGCATGTGTTTGTGACGCGTCTACGTGCGTGGGGGCCCCATGGATCGTGATCCGTGCCCCTTTTCCGGGCGGAATGTGTCTCCTCCATAGAGCTTTTTTTCTGGATGCATGTTTTTGAGGCCTTTCTGGCACATACACGTAAACACCCACCCACACATGCATATATATGTATACACATACGTACATATATATATGTATAAGTACATACCTATAAATATACACATTGTATAGATTTATATACATATGTATATGCATCGACAGGTCTGTGTATTGTAGAGGCAACAGGGAGTCTGCCGTCCCCACCGATCACACATAGCACCCTTGAGAGAGTTGCGCTCGAAGTGTATCCGTTTCTGTGCGTTTTCTGCTGCTGTGCTGCTGCTGCGCTTTTCTTTCTGCCTCCACCAGAAGCTCTGCTAGGGCCCTGCCGTCTGCCAGAGGCCATTAGATCTCCCCAAACAGCCCGCCGAGCTGTTGTTACCGCCGCGCCAGCTGCTGCGCATTTTTCGCCTCTGCATGCGTCTGACACCGAAGTTTTTATGAGGTCTCGGCGTCGCAGCCGACTGTTTGCAAGGCGGGCAGCAGCAGCTGGCGAACGCGAAGTGTCTGTTTTACCGAGTCGAGCGCAAGAGGCTGCTGCAGGAGCAGAGCCAGAATCAAGGAGCATAAGCAGGGCAGCTCTCCTGGAGGACGAACGGCGTTCAACTCGCGGCTTGCCGCCTCCCCCGAAGAGCCGCAGGTCCAGGCTGTATCGACACCCCGCTCAACGCTGGGAAGCAGGAGGGGGCCCCCTCCCCTCCTTGGCCTTGCCCTTCCAGTCCTCTGGGCATAGAGACTCCCCGCAGCAGCGGCTGCCTCAGCAGCAGGAGACAGGAGACTCCGCCGAGACGGAGGCTGCGTCTTCCGACGGCGCAGTGTCGTATGAGGGCACCCCACAAAGTGTGCGACAGCAGCGACAGGAGCGACAGGAGCTTCGCCATCGCACGCATCCAGAAGAAGCAAGAAGGCGCAGGCAAAGGGGGACCCTCCCCGCTGTTTCGGATAGCGACGAATCTCTCGATACAAGTGCCGTGGTGACAAGTGGGGCAGCTAAGGGGCCCCCCCCCCACTTCGAAGCGACTGCATGCATCCGGCGAAGCGGCGTGACTGCTGCCGCGGCGGGGGATCCCGCCGAAGGCGCTGTTGTGTTCTTGCCGAGCGAAAGAAGGGGAAAGGCGCAAGCGGAGACAGGCGGAGACAGCCTCGAGTCTGCGGCGCATGTCAACTTGCTCGACAACAAGCCTCAAGGCCCTCTTTCTACTGGCGTGTTGCCTCCCGGAGCGGCTACAAGTCGATTGGAGGATCTTGCAGCCCAAAGCGCTCCTTCTCCTGCAGCAGAATCTCTCACGCCTCCCGATGCAAGTCAGACGCTCGGCGTCTTCGAGGAATGGAGAGAGGCTGACGACGATGGGGTCCCACAGTTGGATGCTGCAGCTGAGGAGGCGTGGCGATCCGACGCCGAGGCGCAGACTCCTCCGCAGCAGCTGCAGCAGGGGCAGCTCGAGGAGGGGGATCGGGATGCAGAAGGGGATCGCGATCAGCAGCAGTTGAGCGCGCAGAAGGAAGCGTCTCAGCCTGCGCTCGAGGCTGCGCGGGACGAAGAGAATCCAGCCGACACTGCGGTATCCACAGAAGACACCGACGGGAGGGGATATCAGACGGGATCAGTGACTTCGCCCGGTGGCGCAGCTCGCCGTCTAGACACTGGGGCCCTCGTGATTCCACCGCAGCCTCCGCATGCCTCTGATGCAGCCGCTGCAGTGGCAGCTTCGGAGGAGGTTGGGGAGACAGTTTCAACGCCACGCGCTGGAGGGGCCCAGCAGCAGCTCGTGGAAGTCGCAGTGTCTCCTGTTCGCAGCGTGCAGAGAGGCATCCAAACCTCGCCGGAGAGGGCGAAGCCGCGGCAGTCTCTCAGAAACACACGGGGGGCGTCAACGAGGACGCGTCGGGGAGTTCCTCCGACGCAGCTGGATCGCAGTTCGCCTCCCCAGTTGGCTCCAACTCCCCTACGACGCTACCCCCAGAGGACGCGTCTCAAACCCCTGCTGGGCTGGATGGGGGAGAGGATAGACTACGACTGGCGAGGCATGGTGGAGGTTGTGCGCTGCAGCAACATTCTGGATCTGTATCTCCAAGCGAGGGACGTCGGCGCCTTGCCCGACGCTGCGCTGCACACAGCGGATCCAGAGAAGCTGATTCGAAGAATGCTCAAGCAGCAGCAACTGGTCGTTGCCTCGAAGGAGGCAAAAGCAGCCCTCGCGCTCGAGGATCAGCAACAGCAGCGCCAACACGGCCTGAAGGCTGTGGAGAAGGCGGCAGAGAGCAGCAGGAAGAGAAAAAGCAGCAAGGCCTCTCTGGGCTCCGCTGCTGGAAGCAGCAGCTCCCCCCGCATCCGGCCGAAGCAGAGGGCGCGGCGAGAAGACAGCTTTTCGAGGCAGGAGAGGGGGAATTCCAGGAAGAGCGGCAAGGCTCGCAAGGGAAAGGACCTCCTCAAAGGAAAGGCCTTCCTCAAGAAGAAGGAGGAGAAGAAAAAGGGGGGTAACAAGACACGTAAATCGCTCCCTTCGACGCGCGCGGACAGCCAGAGGATTGCCGTCGAGGAGCCTTCCAGCAACAGCAGCCCAAGCAGCAAATCAATCCGCAGCGACCAAGTTGCTACGGGGGAAAGTGCCTCTCCGCAGCTGTCACCGTCCGAGGGTTCACGCAGCCGAGATACGACTCCTGAGCAGCCATCAGGCAGCGCTGAGAGGCCTAAGCTCGATGGGAGTAAGTCATTTCTTCTTCTTGCCCCACGAGTCTTAGCGGCTTCCTGCGAACGATGAACTGGGAGACATCGCTGTTGTTCACAAGCCCTTGCGGCCAGTGCAGTGTCTCCTGGTGAGATGCGCGTTGCGGGTGTGCTGCACAGAAACGCTCATTCGGCAAGAAGAGTGTTCTTGGAGGGGCATAGGACCTGGGGACGCTATGCAGGTCAGTCAGTGGAGAATCCTTCTGTCTGGCAAACTTCTTTCGTCCAGACGGTGCCTCAAAAAACACTCTCGCGGTGCACGTACATTCATGTGTCTACGCAAACATGCTCAGTACATACAAGTGCTCAGGCATGGCATCTGCGTAGCTGGCTCCTACATCTGTACAATCTTTTGAATCGTCGTAACGCATATGTGCGCGCTTCGAACGTGGCAGTTGCTCAGCGTCTCGTTTTATTGCGCTGTATAATGATGCGCAATCCTCTGTCCTCAGCTCGCCGTGGTCCGTCAAGGGCGGCGTTTGGTTTCATGCAAGTTGCGCCTGAAAGCGGGATTTGTTAAGGGCCCCGATAACACACAGAAGAAGGAAATCGTGAGAAGGCTTGCTGCTGTTTTTTCGCTCTCCATGTTGGCTTCTGCTCGGCCTTTTGTGTGGAGAGCCGTGGACGCGCGAATTTTTACTGCTGCCTGCCTGCGTCGTCGTTCTCGCCTATTTGTCTTAGCGGAGCCGTTGGATAGTTCTTTGCTGCTCTTGCCCCTTCCTGCAGTTCGGCGTGGTGCTCTCTGGAGGCCCCCTCGTGCTGACTGTACAAGGGGAGGATTCCGACTTGCTTTGCGGTGCCTTCTTCCAAGTTGCCCCCCACGAAACATGGAGTCTACGGAATGACCAGCAGTGAGCGTAAATGAGCGATTTCGGGGCTTGTGGCGATGGGCTACTGCCGTTGCGTGGACGTTTGTGCCCTGAGAATGCCGTGGGTTAGACCCCCCCCCTACTGCACCTCTGTGTTTGCCTGCCGCAGGGACGGCGGTTATGCCGAAATCTACATTGCGTGTGTTCTGTTGGATGCGCCAACTGACTGATCAAGTTTGTTCGCTCGACTTGCTGTTTCGTCATTTCTAGAACTACGGGGTGTCGGGCCACAGATAGGCTCTCCGAAAGGCTCACTCGCCCCCTGCTCTACGAGCACCTAAAGCCTAAAAAACATTCTGGTACAGAAGAATAGACACATAGCGATTAAAGGACTCTTGGGTACTGCCTGGGGACGCACAGCGTGTTTCCGCTGCGCGGAGAGTCCGCAGGTGGAACTTCTGGCCATGGGGTGACATGCACAGCGTCAGTACCGGCAGCAGTCTTTGTATTATTGTTGACTTCTTCCAAATGCGTCTGCAATGGATACTTGACACTATGAAAACATGCGTAAAAAACAGGCCAAGGCACCGCAGGTGTGCAATACCAGCACCACACTCAAACACTCACCTGCCGAGTGCAGATCACTTCGGAGGCAGCACAGCGCTAACATTGTTTCTTCTTCCGGCTCAGCACGAAAGCAAAAAGCAGGTTGCATGAAACTAGATTACGATGAATGGAAAACGGACCTGGATTCCATAAATATGCTCATGCGAGCACATACCATCAAGAACTGCCCAAAACATTGATAACTCTAATGTGATTCCCTGTATAGAGGGTATTTGTGTTTCCGCAAAATTCGAAGCATGCATGTCTATCATTGAGTTTTTGTAGCGCAATCAACGGATGCATGTAGATACGTTTATGGATTCCAGGGCGTAATATCGAGGAATGGTTCATGGCGAATTAGCGGATCCGCATATTTCTTCGCGGCCGTTGTCAAAGTGCGTGGTGAAGACGTAATTGGGCGCTCCGTAGCTTGATTGACGGGCATCGTGCACCTCTGGTGTGGACCTCGAAGATAGCAGGTGATGGGGCCAACAAAGGTCCTTATTCTGCCATTACGTCACTTGTCTTGTCTAGTTCATCCCTGGAATCCTCTATTACCCTCTCTAGAAACCAAACAAATGATACGGCGCTGTCGACGTCATTGAATGCGACGGCGATGGCCCGACCAGGCGTTCGTTGCCTAAAGCCCACAACTTTGGGATCTTTAAGCAGAGCAGCGTCTGATGAGTTCAGCTTGAGTGTAGACGATCCGTAAATCCACGAGTCGATGTCCTTATAGGGAATAGGGCGCATTTTATCCTTGAAGCAGAGAGTAAGGACCTTCTTAGCTGAGTCCAGTGTGAGCTTGCATACTATGCGCTGTCCGTCAGGGAACAAAACCTCCACGCTGCCTCCTTCCTTGTATGTATTTAACCACGCATCGTAATTCTTTGGAGGCCCATCCTTTAAGCCTGCGAGGGCGAGCTGCTGCACAGTAATATCGGCCTTATCCTCCCCATCAACCGAGCAGCACGAGTTTCCCATGATATTCAGCGTCTTTGAACAATTATTAATTTAAGTAGCGCCGTGAGGAGTTTCTGTTATCGCATTCACCCGGTCTTTCTGGACGCCAACAAAAACACAGGCTCGGAAGAAAGCAAGCTGCGCCTCCCGAGCAAACACTATGCCTTCTGAAAGATAGTCTCCCAATGCATAAGTATTCAGATTTCCAGTTTCTAGGAAGAAGAATACGGGCTACCAAGGAAAAGCGAAATCGGAAATGGCCATATGGAGCCCTGCACAAGCCATAGCAACAGCAATGCTTCAGGGCAGTGGTAATTCATGCAAACGGAAGGTTCTGCAAAAGAAGCAACAAGAAATCAAAAAATGTTCAAAGTTTTGCTTAAGAAGAGAAGAATATCCGGTGGTGAAGGAATGCACTAGTTCTACTCTTTGATTCGTCGAAGCGGCTTTCGATGGGTCAGGGAGCAGCTAGATAACACTCGCACGAACTCAAGGCAATTATTTCCATGGCTCCCTTCATTATTTTACTACCTTTTTTTGTGGCCCCAGATCTTGCAGAAGGATTCAAAATCTGCAAAGCACCTGCCATGCAGGGATGCACTCCAAGCATCGATTTTTCAGCACACGACCGCAAGTTTGCTATCGGATTTTGTTCTATGTATACTTCATGCTAGGCTTAAGCTCTCTGTTTAGAGCTCTCCCAAGCACGAAGCCTCTAGTTAGTAGATTTTGCCCGCATGAATTGCAGCTATTGTCCCCGCTGCGTATCGCTCTCTTGGCTAAGGACAAATATGCTTCGTCACCTAGCATAACTGGACTGGAACTGGTGTACGTAGCTTGCAGAGTGATTTTTAAAAATTTCATTTGATCGCCGTAAGCTACTAGTGAGAGCTGATTGGCGCTGTGTAATGCTCCGCCAGCACGATGAAAATGGGATGTTAATAGATAGCATATTTACACAGATGACCAAACAGTTATCTGAAACCCACAACGCAGTTGATTTCACTTGAAATATCACAATTAGGTGCATCATCTTTGCTTAGATGCTACCGAATGCCTGTGTCCTTTTGTTTCATCAATTGCCTCGAGAGCACCAAGGAGTGCATCGAGACAAAATTGAGTATGTTAAATAAAGCCGCTCATTACTTTACCAATCATATATTAGCATTCTACCGAAAGTGCATCTCGGGGTCGTTCAAGCCTGAAACTAACTGCGTCGACATCTTTCATCATTCTACCTCCTGGTGCGCTCGACCCGAGCTTTTTGTACGGTGGCATGTAGCTCTGGACTCAATTCAAAAATTGATAGGCAGCTGACGAGTGTTTTTCTAAAAGAGCTCAACCCTCTTCATGTGCTTGCCTCACAACCTTACGACGTCAGCCGTGAGGGAAACAACTGTGATCCAAGTTGCAGCATCACCCAAGGGCTTTGAGCATTGCCACCCAGGCGCACATAGCATACAGTGTAATGTTCAATCGAAGGTGTGAGAAGGGATACATTTAACTCCGGCCCAGAGCAAACTTGATAGTTGGCTATTGAGTTCTCTCCAGAAGAAATTCCGTCCTTCTCGCCCATCAGAATCCCCCATTTTAGGGGACAGGGACAGCAGAGGAGCGCAGAGCTGCCCTTCAGCCTGATTCGAACAATCACAGTCAGTAGCACATGACACTTGGCGCGCACGGACACAGCGCTGCGTCATTTAGTGTCGAGTAAACAGTAGTCTGTATTAAATAAGATACATGGACAGGGCAACCAAGTAGTCCATTCACTACGAATGCTTGGTTTGATTTAGCCAACGTAGAAGAAAGAGTTCAAGCGTAGCTTGGCTGACTACCTCATCATTCATCCACAGGAGTTTTCCCCAAGACTATTTTGTTACAAGATGAGGCATCGGCAGAAAAGCCCTACCCATGAAAGGTGACTAGTCTTTGTCGCCCAAAAGCATAGACCTGTTGAACTGAAAGTGAAAATAGCTAATCCTGGATAGATTTGTTGGGTAAGTTCACAACCAAGGAGGGAAACACCACAATAGTACACGCCCAAGGGAGATAACACATAAAGCGCTGATCAAACAGATATACGGACATATGGGAGCATTGCTGAGCTTCGTATGCTCCAGGAAAGGGCGAAAACAGTTGTACATTCAACACGTGTTGCCTCCCGCAGTATGGGAAGGGCCCTCTTAGAAATTGGCTTCTTGAAGGTATTGCAAAAGGTGCTCCCAAGGGGTTTATCATACATGAATGCCGTATCCAGAGTCCTACGCAGTCACAAAGGCGACTGCCCACTGAGAGTCAGCGAGCTTTGTTGTTTAGCCCATGCCCTGCATGTTTGGGAATACAATCAACTCTACACTGCAGGTCAACAACTCCTCATGCGAATACCCGTAGAGATATGGCGGCATCTTGACCCTTTTGCACTACCGTCAAAATGATTATTGACCCTTTTGCACTACCATCACAATGACTATTGACCCTTTTGCACTACCGTCACAATGACTATTGACCCTTTTGCACTACCATCACAATGACTATTGACCCTTTTGCACTACCGTCACAATGACTATTGACCCTTTTGCACTACCGTCACAATGACTATTGACCCTTCTGCACTACCATCACAATGACTATTGACCCTTCTGCACTACCATCACAATGACTATTGACCCTTTTGCATGCATAGCAAAAGAGCTAAATCCGAGTGGTGCATTGTTCGCACTGAATGGTCTGAAGCTAAGTCGTTCACGTGCCACTCGGCGCTCAGAGCTAACGGGTGTCTTAGAAATTCAGCTGGCGTATTTTGGTTCAGCCATGGCGTCCTGATCGCATCCTCTGTAGGGTGTGAGGCGAAGGAACATCGGGGCTTTGGAAACGAGCAAGCTACACCAAGCAGTCTTCTAACCGAAGCTCGCTGGCGCCTGAATTGGAGTGAAATGCCCCTACAAGACTGAAGCTCCGGCAATTCTGTCACATTTTCCCGAGAGAATTCCGCCAGGCTCTCTGGGATGCTGGCACGGCCGCGGCCCCACACCAGAAACCCGCAGGGCCTCGTGGTCACTGCAGCAGGAGCTGTACGTACAGCCGGGACTTCTAGCCTTTCCAGTGTTTCCCCTTGTTCGCTGAGCTGCGTAGGCAGCACTCTCGGTGTTTTTAGGGGCCCTTTTGCGCAAAGGCCCCCTCAAGTTGCCAGCATGCCCTTTGTCGGCGGCTTTGAGGTCTCTGACGTCGTCATTGCCCATGACGCATGAATAGTGCATGACACATACCTAAAAGGCCACCCTGGAGGCCCCTTTTGCCCCGGGTAAGGGTTCCAGGATTTGTGCATCCCCTCTCGTCTCCTTTCTGGGAGCTGGGTGCCTTGAGCACGTGGCTCTGAGCCACGTGGGCCCTCACAATCGATTGGAAGTCTCGAGGAAAGCGCTCTCAGCAGTCATGTCAGAGGCAGCGGTACTTGCGAAGCTGCTTGATGCAGCCGCCCGAGGGGCTCAGGCAGGCATTAGGGGTGGAGATTCTCCCCAAACCGCAATACGGGAGCTTTTGGCATGGCTGGATCCACTTCTCCCCGCGCTTTGCCACCCCGTTGCCCCTCTAGTGTCTCAGACTCGACTGGGGAAGAAGGCAGCGCTGCTGCGGGAGCAGCGGCAGCGGCAGCTGCTGCTGCAGGAGCAGCAGGATCTGCCAAAGCTGCGGCAGCAGCTTTGGCAGTTGCTGCAGGCATACGCATCCGCCTCCCCAGGCTGTATTGAGCTCCTGCAGCTTGTGGATGCAAGCACTGCGGCACTCTTGCGACTGCTGGAAGAGGGCACCAAGGTCGCCCAGCGGGGCCTCCCCGAAGGAGCTAGTCCTGCTGCTGCTGCCCGTAAGAAGCTCCAGCAGCAGCAGCACATGCAACGGGATGCAGAGACGGCTGCAGCCGAGGCACTAGCGCAAGCAGCACAAGCAGCAGCACTCCTTGCCTGTGCTGTGGTCAAAGAGGAGAGGCTGGACGCCGTTCCGTGTGCTGCTGCGACTCGACATGGACTGGCTGCAGCCCTCACGACTCCCACGAGACTCCTGTCTCTGGGGATGTTGATGCGTTCCCCTCCTCCTGCGTCCGCCCCCCCCACAGCGCAGCAGCAGCACGCTGTACTACAGCTGTGTCTCTGCCGTTTGGTTTCCTCTGCTGCTGCCTGCACGCCTGCAGCAGCCTGGCGAGTTGCGTGTGCAGTGCAGGGGACTGGAACGGCAGCAGCTGCAGCATCTTGCCAAGGAACCTCCGGTGGGGGGGGAGGCGAGCGAGAACCTGCGCAGCATCATCCGCTGAACACAGCGATGCATGCACTGTGCGAGGGGCCTTCAAGGCACCTGCTGGCAAGGCGGAGAAGAAGAAACAACAGCCAGCGAGCTGAGGGTACCCCAGATAGCGACCAGCGTCCACCTCCTCCTCCAGCTCAGGGATGCCTGTGTAGCTGCACCACTTGCGTCAAGGAGACAGCCGCGCAACCTGTGCAGGCAGGAGTGGCATCGGCTGGCGAGACTCAAGCGGCAGACGAAAGGGTTGCACAGACTTACCGTAAGACCAGCTGGAACCGTGCGTGGGGGTCTTTCTCAGTGCGCTGCTGCTGCCTTGCCTGCCGTGAGGAAATGGATCCTCTTGGCGTGAGCGCTCGTATCGGAGCGCAGCGTGAAGCAAGGCGAGGCGCACGCGATGGCGACTCAGCGAAGATCACACGGCCGCTGCTGGCGGAGGCTGCTGCTGCAGCAGCTGCTGCGACTGCGCATGTTCGCCTCGCCGTAAGTACACTGAGAGCTCGCGCTGCTCGGGAGGTCATAGGGGGATGCGGGCTTGTGCCCATTCGGTATGCTCTTCGGCAGGAGGCCTTGCGTCTGCTTCTGTTGCTTTTGCTGCATTCGGATCTCATCGTTAGCGAGACTTTGCTGCAGCCACGGCGGCATCTCCAGCAGCTGCAGTCTCACGCAGCAGCGCGTGGGAGCCACAGGGATTCTGCGAACAGCAGCAGCAGACTCGGAGATGATGTGACGTTGCTGCGTTCCGCCGTTCGTGGGCTGCCGCTGGATAGGGAGCTCGACGCCTTGTGTTTCTTAGCGGGGTTGTCAGAAGCGTTTTTGGCTGCAAGAGCAGCAGGCCGCTTCAGACTCTCTGAGAGCACAGCGAGACATCTTTGCTTCACCAACGGACCTGGAGGCTTTGCACTCCCTGGCCTGCTTCACGCCTTCACTGCGAGGGAAGATTTGAATCATTTGTTGCAGCCTCTCTTGTGGCGTCGTCCCCCCGAGGGCTCAGAGGCAGCTGCAGCCGTTTATGCAGGAGAAAGCCACCAGCAGGAGGTGCCTTCTTCCCGTGAAGCTGGGGGGAGCCAGTCTGGCGAGCGTTTCGCCTTCTTCAGCTCGTCCTGGGTAGCGCAGCGCTTCCTCGCGTTTCTGCTGCTGTTGGCAGCTGCTCGCAGCCTCCTGCGCAAGGGGCTGTCTGCTGAGGATCGTGGGGCGATCACTGAGTCGGTAGCTCCCAGGAAGGATGGCATGGAGCACGAGCGGCCGCTGCTCTCTCTGGCTCTGGCGATTCGTCCTCTACAACTGCCTCCGCAGCAGGACCTCTTGTTGCAGCTTTTCAAGTCTCAGCCAGCCCTCTTGCCGCCTTTCTTGGCTAGTGCTACTGGACTGTTGTTGAGCCCTCGCCAGTCGTCTACCTTTGCCCTTTCGTGTCTCTTTCTCTGCCGCGTTCTAGAGGCCCCTTGGGTATTGCCCGTCCAGCAGCAGCAGCAAATCCTTGAGGCACGGCGCCAACGTCTCCATCATGAGCGACAGCCGCAACTGCAGCCACTAGCAACTGCAGACGTACTGCCGGAGCCCTCCCGCCTCTACAGCGCCGCAGGCAGGGGCCTTCTGGGATTGGCGCTTTGCGAGCACGACTTGAAGTTTTCGACTTCGGAGGCACCACGAGCAGAGTTTCAAGTCGTCTGCTCACAGGAGGCGGAGCAGATTCCGTACTTCGAAGACCTCGAAGCCAGGAGACTGCAACATGCGCAGATGCAGCACAAACGCCAGGATGTAGAACTGAGCAGACGACGTATCATTGCTGTTGCAGGGGCATACGTAGCCTCCCCTGCCCTGCTGTTGCGTCAGCACCTGTCTCAGTGTCTTCTGCAACCGGATGTTCGAACAGCCTTCTGCGGCGTTGCTCTTCTGCGGGCATGCTGCAAGGCCCTACGCTGCATGCATGGAGCCCTCAGCGCACACCCCGATTTGCAGCGGCTTCTCTTGGCTGAAGTAGGCCCTCGCCTCCCAGACGCGAAGACTCTAGTCAACTCCTTGCTGCGGCTGCTCCAACAAGAGAAGCATGCGGGTACGCAGCAGCTTAGCGGCTCGAAGAAAGGAGGACATGCTCAAGCAACTCCCCCCGCAGCCGCTCACCAGGAAGAACTCTGGTTATCGGACGAGGCCCTATCCAGAGCTGCAGCAGCCTCTGCAGCTGCTGCTGCCAAGGAGAAGCAGAAACAAGAAGTGGAGCGTGCCCGGCGAGGCTCCGGAGAGGCCGACGACAGTGAAAATGATGAACTAGAGATTCATGTTGATGGCATTGAGGAGGCTACCGCAGATGCAGAGTGTGAGGATTCGTGTAGTGAAGAGGAGGACTCCCCTGAAGCGGATTCAACGACTTTGTGTGCAGCCTCCCGTGGTGTAGTCGCGGAGCACCTTATGCAGCTTTTCGCACAGTTGACATCGCTTAGGACCAGTGCAGGGGCTCCCCATGCAGACGCCGGAGGGCATAGCAGTGTGGCTGCCAAAGATGGTGTCTCTTCGACCTTCTTTCTGTTGCTCCTGGGGTAAGCATGCACCATGGGGAAGCCCGTGCTCCGTCCATTCTGTGCTCATAAATTTTTCTAGGCTAGGTCGACGGGCTCTTGACGCCTAGAAGTCTAGAACTACCTCTGTCGGCTCGTTTAGTTGAGGCATCCTCGTGGCTGCGCCTCGGATGGGGGGTAGAGTCAACTTTTTACTGGCCGCTGCTTGTAGAGGCAGGCGGTGGGGGTTCGCTAGTTCTCGCAGTGCCTGCATACAAATCAAGCCTCATAGGATGATCAGAGGCTGCGTGGCCGGTCGTCTGCATAACAGTGAATTGCCACCCCCTTTCGCTTTGTTTGGATTGCTTTTTTCGCAGGTGGATGGAAGTTGCGGAAGCCTATCAGGAGCTGATGACTCCATCGTTTCCTCTTGATTGGGGCAAGTTGCTCTGCACGTGGAAGCCCGTAGATTCCGAAGATCAAAGGAGCACTCTCTGCTGCAGGTCACGAAACATTGCAAAGTCCATCATCCGTCTGGGGGTACAGGCACGGGGAGGAGTAGGAGCATGGGGGCGCGAGATAGCTGCAGGTGGTGCTGTGTCAAAGCAGCAGCAGCTGGTACTTCTCCACCTCTTGCTGCAGTGGCATCGGGATGCACAGGGAAGCCGTCAGTGTCTCCTGAGTCCATGCCAGAAGAATGGGAGCCCAGACAATGACACTTCGGCTGCAGTCATTTCTGACGAGCCTCTTCAGAACCTGCTAGGGTGCGTATATATATATATATATGTATATATATATGTATATTATATTCGCCTGTCATAGCAACTTTGCCACACCTCCACGTGGCTGCCTGCACCAGTGCATGGGACGGCGATGTGGTTTTTCTCCCCCACGCATCCTACCTGGGATAAAGGCAGGAATTTGCGACGTGAGAGATTCCTTGTAGACTCGCTCTGCAAAGCCGACTTGTGCTGGTCCGTAACTGTGTTATGGGATCGTTTCTGCAGGTTTATGCACACGAGCGGCCTCTTCAGCCTCGATCCTGCTGGGGCTTTCGGAGTGGATGAAGCTGCTGTGTGGCTCACGGCGTTGGAAGAATCTTCCTGCTTTCGTTGCAGCGCGCTCTACTTTGTGGGGGTGTTGCGCCTCGCTAGTGAGCGTCGGTTGGCTCTGTTGCCCTATGTTGTTGCGCCCTACACCCGTGAAGGCGGAGACGAGACTGCGGCGCAGGAAGAAGCAGCGTGGCTTCTCTCACCCTTTTCTGCAGCCCTTCTGGCTCACCTCTCTGTGACCCCTCGTTGCAACAATGGGCGAGCGCTCTTTATCGATTTGCCGTCCTTCGGCGTGTCGGCCCCTGCAGAGAGTTGTTGGGGATGCGCCTTTAAGCACTCGGCGGAACTTTGCGCTGAGGCAGTCGTGCAGTGGGCAGTCAGCGGACTCATGAAGTGCTGCATCTTACGTCCTGCAATGCGGCATCCGCTTCTCACGTGGCTGCAACAGGAGGGCTCCTGGCGTGTTATCGGCTGTGCACTGAACATGCCGCGCGAGCAGAATGCGGAGGGGGGAACGCAAGCCGATTCTGCGGCGTTTGTGGAGGCAGCCCGCGCTGCTGCTGCTCAGCATCCCCAGAGCAAAGCGGTCAATCGGCTTCGCAAGCGGCTCTTGCGGTTTCTTGCGGTGCGGCGTGCAGAGTGTTCTGTTGACACCAATAAAGTCGCTGCGCACTCAGCCCCACAGACGACCCTCGAGGAGCAGTTGGAGCATCTTGCGGGATTGCATCAGCTGGCAACGAACTCGGCACCTCTCCTGGCCCCTCTCCATGAGGTAGCACCCGAGACTCTGCTCTGGGGATGTGCTGCCCGCTTGCCTGGCGCTGCGTCTCCAGCAAGAGACCACGTGGCTCTCGCAGAGAGGACGAATTTGCTAGGGCTCCTGGGGGCATTTACGCGGAACCTCGAGGAGCTGCAGGAGCTAGGAGGCCTTAAAGATTCGCAGCTACCACACGGTAACCTTCAAGGAACCGATGCGCTGACCAGCGGCAGGTTGCCTGCCGTTCTGCGGCAAGTGGAAGCTGTGAGCTGGCAGCTCAGAAACAAGGCTCTACGGGAACGTCGTTGTGTCTCAGATGCCGGTCTAGGTGCAGACAACCCGTGTGCAGCTGTGATTGCCAGTGCGGGGAGACCTCTAGGGCGATTACTTCGCCAAGCCACCACGGCGCTTCAGCGTCTTGCATTGACCGCCTCACTGCCTCAGTGCGCCGATCATGCGGAACCCCCTGCATCGCACAGCACGCGTGAAACGGCCTTCCGAAAAACAGCAGCCGACGACGAGGCCCTCTTGCACTGGGGAGAGATAGGGGCTACCTTGTGTTGCCACATTGCAAGCCTCTGTGAAACATTTTCTGCTGGAGGGATCCCCGACTGCTCCGTACCTTCGAAACTGCGGCTGCTTCGTCGTATCGTGATGTTTTTTGTAGCCCTCGCCGGTGTGCAAGATGCAGTTGAACGGAAAGGCCGCCCTTCAGTCAGCTTCGCGGGCTGCATGCAACGCCTAAGGCTCTGCCCAGTATTTGCTGACACGCGCTCGCAAGCCTTACCACAGGTATCTGAGCTGCAACTGGAGAGGGAGTTCTGCGAGATGGACCCGGTTCAAGAACTCTTGCGCTGCCTTCTGAAGCGTGTTGCAGTGGCAACAAAGCAACTGGTGGATGAAAAGGAGCGCCCTCTGTTGCTACTGGCTTGCGAGTCAGTGCTAGGCGGAAAGGACTCCCCCTGTCTATCAACAGTCGGCAGTCCATTGGGAGGCGCGTCAGATCAGGTACACCTGAGATGGCTGCTGCCCCTCCTCGAATTCTGGGCGCTCGCAGGTGTGTCTGACCAGTCAGTGGGATTAGAAGACGCGATCCAAGGCTTTACCAGGGCCGAAGGGGAGTGCGCCATCTCGCTGTTGGTAGGAGCGTGCGGCGAATCCCCAGAGCGTAACAACGGATCCATTTCGACAGCCACCCTTGTTCAGAGGCTGGAGGCGCTACACCCTCCCGACGCCGCTCTGCGTCTTTACGACTCTTTGAGTGTATTATCGGAACAGCTTCTTGCTGACCAGAAGGGTGCTAGAGTGAAGGAGACGCAACATTCAATCGACGCAAGCCCTTCCGTTCTCTTGCCATCAACGAGCGCCCTGCTCAGAGCGGCCACGCACGTGATGCTGTGTCTTGCCTTGCAGTGCAGTCCAGCGGCGAACTTGCGAAGTGGCGGTGAAGATGACACAAATTCAGAAGGACAGGGCATCTTGCTTGTATTTAGGCCTAGTCTCATCAATGCCTTCCGTGCTTCCTGGGAGCGGAATCGTAGCCTTCGTTCTGCATGCATGCGCATGCTAGCATCGGAGGATGTCAAGGGAGATCATGCCACCAGTGTGTCGCTGCATCCAGCAGTACGTCTCGCTCTTCTGCTGCAGTGGCGGGAGCCACTGCAAAACTTGCCCTCCGCATTTTATCCTTCGCTAGTTTCTGAACTCCAGCAGTTTCAGGAGGAGGGGCCCCAGAAGCCTACAATCAGTGCTGCTCCGAAGCGACGCAAGAGGGCTGCCTCTGAACACCGAACAGAGATTATTCCTGCCTCCAGAACGTGGGCTGCTGAAGTGCTGGAGGCACTCAAGCTTTCTGCGTATGCACGTGACAGTAGGGGAGCAGCCGGCAAGCGCATCAGAACGAGGGCTTTGCAGTGGCAGATAGCGGCGGCGTTTTTGGTGGCTGGATGGGGAAACGAGGAGCCGAACGCTCTGACTGAAGATGCTCCAGGAAGATGGGCAGAGGGGGTGCAGCGATTTCTCGCTGGCCTCTGCATGCAGCAGCCATCAGGAAGCGACTGCGGGATGCGTCTTGGAATGCAATTGGCGCGCACTCTCGAGGAGCTTGCAGGGAGTCTTGAGGAGCCCTTCATGATTACAGATGGGTAAGCGGCTTGCTGCACGGATACCACCATAGGCGTTCCCTCGGGAAGGCGTATCACGAGGTGCTCATGCAGACTATGAGCTCTTGATGCGCTTGTCGCAAGTGCCAGCCACTAGTCTTTTGCACATTTTTCCCGAACGAGAGCGTTGTGAACTGCACGTGGCAACAGTGCCGCGTGATCGAGTCTTGGGGGCATGTAGATATGTGTTCATCCTTCTCAAGGCTTGCGAGGGGGGTTGTTTACTCCCAGTTGATTGGCCTTGCTACTGGGACTTGCTGGATAATGTATTTGTTAGGGGCAGCATGTGCATGTGTGTTTCTCAGGTGGCCTGTAGATGGATGGGCTCGGTATCACGCGGCTGCCATCGCTCTGCATGCAGCACAGCGGGCTGGAGCCGATTCGTGCATATATACCCACTCCCTTGCAGCCGGCCGGACTGGGATAGGAGGGGTTCTAAAGGATCTCAAGACGGAACTTATGGAGCTGCAGGAAGCACTCCAAGGAATAGGCTCGTTGCATGACGCTGGGTATGGTGGAGGCGAGGAGGAGAGCGCAGTTGCGGCGGCTGCTGATTTGGCGTATTGTCTTGGAGTAATGAACCGCGCCGCTCAGCTAGGTCGAGTTGTGGTAGCTGCGATACAAATGGGGGTTGCTTCAGAGGCTGGCCTGACGAAGGACCAACGGCAGTGTTTTAAGGCTCTAAGGCCTAAGGCTCAAGCGGTTATGTGCGGCTTCTTAGATGCACTGGGCCAGTCTCCACCAACTGCCGCCGTTCACACCGGCGCTGAGGCACTTGGGAAATTCCCGCGAAGCGAAAGGACCGATGATTCCTCCCCGGCGAGTCTGAACGTCGACATCCTGATTGTGCAGTCATCAGTTGATCTTTTTCTCCCTGCTGTGCAGCTTGCAATGGCGGCAGCGGCTTTGGATCCTTCCCCTACCCAGGCAAAATCCAGCGGTAAACGGATCGCCAGGCAAGCGCTTTTATCGACGGCGCTCGCGGAAGTTGGACAAGCCGCAAACCTTGCGATTCGGCGAGCACTGTCCACTCCGACTGGCGATGGTTCGAGTGCGACTGCAAGTATAACTGCGTCTATGATGCCTCTTCTGGAATATCTAGGTGCGTGTCTCCTTCCAGCCGCCAACGCACAGCTGGCGCAGGCGGAGGACCAGCATGCCGCGGATGCGCAACAAGCCGAAGAAGAGCCTTATTGCTTGCTCTCGGATGCATGCCCCGCGTTGTTTGAGGCTATCACGAACTTATGCGGAGCGTCCACGTCTTACGCAGATAGCATTTTATGCCGCATACTCCTGCTGGATAGTGGTTTTGCCTACATGGGGGCGTCGAACGCGGAAGCAGACGACAGCGAAGGCCGGCAACTGCCTGCTGAGGCGGCAGGGGAATCTTCGGGCAGCTATGATGTTTTCTCGAACACCTACATGTGGATGACACACTTGCCAGACTTCCTAGAGGTTGCAAGCGAGACACGCGCAGATATTTATTCCTCCACAGATAGTCCGACTGTTTTCTGCCGTCTGCGGGGTCCATGCGATTGGCTCGCCCTCGATCCGCGCCGCATGAATGATACACTCGATAACTTTGGCTTCCATACGAGGGCTCCAACTCGAGATTACCGGCCAGCTCGCTCTCTAACATTCGCGGCGACTTCAGAGCGACATCGGTTGCTGGAAGCAGCCCTCAAGGCGCGCTGCAGTGTTTCGGAATCTGGCGATGGCGATGAGGAGCAGTCGAGCAGCGCTGGGGGGAGCCAGCATGCAACGGTTCGGAAGGACCGCCTCCTGAGGAATCTGAACGGCTTAGCAAATGCATCCGAGGAGGACGTATTGCGGGGCACGACGGCTGTCAGCAGTGCTTACGACGTGGTCTACGTTATTCCGTATCTTGCTGGACGCCTCATGAGGGCCTTTTTTGTGCTGTTGTGGCGATGGCAGAGGCAGCTTGAGGAGGAACAGGCACTGCAGCAGCAGGTGCACTCGCATCTGGGTGAAGAAGAATCAAGTGTCACACGTGCGGCTCGGATCGCCATGGAGCGTAAACGGCCAGTGTGCGTTGCCGAGCAGGCGCGAAGGGCCTGTGGTGTAGCGGGGGCGTGGCTGCGTTCACTGGAAGCGAACACGACAAATCACGATGCGACAGAGTCTGCGAAGGAGGAGGAAGCAAGCCAAGCCAGTGGAGGTGCTGTCTGTGAATCTAGTCCGATTTGTGAGGGTCAAAGCTCGGAGGCGGTAGCGTCTGAGGGGCCTGCTACAAAGAGGCGTAGGGAAGACGTGTGGGAGATGAACGAATTTAGACCACAGGAGATTCAGCTTGCTGTCACGCGCGTGAGCACATTCTTGAAGGCTTCTAGACGTGTAGGGCGTTTGTGGAGGCCCTTCGATTCCGGTGCGAGTGGGACAGAAGAAGGGCATTCCACTGACGTAGAGCTAGCTAGGAGCCTCGACGCTTGGGGTTCTTGTATAGATGACGGGGATCAATGGCTCAGCAGTTTTGCCAGTGGCGGAGGCTTGCAACTGCTCGTTATGGCCCTAGGCTGCCCAGTAAGTCATGTGGCTTTGTCATGTGTCGAAGTTTGCAGAATTTTCTCGCTTGTAGAGAGGCAGAATATGTATACATATAGTTATATACGTGCACGTATATAAATATACACATATATGTGTGCACACACATGTATACACATGAATATACAGATGTACACATATACACATACATCTGTATACATCTGTAAGGACACTATCAAAAAATTTTGGTAGTTTGCGAAGCTCTGGTTGGTGTTGGCTGCAGGATAAATCCACACGCGAGGCAGCGGCGCATGGGCTTGCCATCTACACCCATTTACTGCAGCTATCGGCAGACCGGTCGCTGTTATCCTATTTTGCAGATGTCCATGAGTTCAATATGCAAAGCAGAAAGCGTTCTGGGAATAGTGCCGCACATACACCGAAGAGGCGCGACTTGCAGCAGCGCCACAAGTCCGCAACGTTTGCTTTTCGAGAAGTAAAGCAGCTGCTAACACTTCTACGCTCTTTAATGTCGTCCATTCAGGTTCTCCAGCAGCAGGGAGATGCGGAGGGTGGAAGCATTCCACCACGAGAAACTGACGCAATCCAGGTCAGTTCAGTGCGTCGGGTCGTACTAGCTCTGCCGAGATGCGTGGATTTTAAGGTCGCGACATGGGCATCTGCTGCTTGCGACGGAAAGCTCTTTGTTCTGTTCTTCAAACGTATGCTGGTTTGATGTGTACAGGCTACCTCGCCGCTCGTATGCAGCTTCGCGGCATCAGTGGTGCCGTTTCTCTTTGTCCCAGATCATCCGTTGTACCCCATCCTGAACTACGCCCTTCTAAAGCATTCGGCTCTGTCCTTGTTGGTGCACGAGCCATGCATGCCTTTAACGCTGGCAGCCCTGCGCCAACCGTTATTAGGATCGGACGGAATCTTCTCACGGTTGATACTGTCTCCCTTGGCCGCAAGCTGTGCCCATCAAAGAGCCTTCTTACTAACTGTGCTTAAGAGGGCAATGGCAGTGTCTCAGTGCCTCGACGACGGTACCATCTCGCTAAGTGCTAGACTTAAGGCGCACAATACGACTCAGGCAGTCGTGCCGCCTCCTGCAGTACTGTCTCTTTCCGCGCTGCCCGTGCTGGCTTTGCCCACTCAGAAGTTGGCCTTGGGTTGGAGCGCGGTAGAGGCTCTCCTGATTGCAACAGCAGCACCACCGTGTCTTTCCGCATGCTGCTGGTGGTATCCGCATGCGGCCTTTAGAGCAATGGCCATGCAAGACGTCTCAAGTTTTCTTACATCTGAAAGCGAAGAAGGCACATGGAGTAACGGTGCCCATCTGCCGCTCGCCACAGTAAATGCCCAACATCTGCTGCAGCGCTTCGGTCTTTTAGAGTGGCTTGAGGCTCAAATTGAGGCAACCATGGAATGGTTCATGACAGAGGCTGGACCCCAAAGTATGAAATCGACCTCAACGACAGCTCATTATTCAGAGTTCATGGGCCAGGCCGTACCTCCACCTCCACACAGATCAAAGGTGTTTCGCGACTACGGTTTCCCCCAATGTGAAGAGGAATGTATCAGTCCCGTGAAGCCCCCACGCAGTGCAAGCGCTGAACCCTATGATCGATTGGATACAACAAAGTGGCTGCCAGTTTTGAAGAATTGCACCAGGCTCATGTGGTCTGTGCTTGCGGCTGCCACCTTGGCTCCACCGCTGCTTGATGTCACTGTGACAGATGCTTGCCAGTGGGACAAAGTCGCCTGCTTTACTTCTCAGCAAGCTTTCGAGAGGGAAACACATGTCACGTGCAGATCTATAACGCCAACTGGCACTGCGACAAGGGATGAGATGCCATTCATCGATCTACCAGGCCCTTGGGGTCTACTTTCGACTACAGCTTCGTGGCCGCCAAAAGACGACAAGGCAGAAATTCGCTTGCTCAACGCAGCAATCATACGCGCGCGACATCAACTCTTCGGTTTGCGTCAACGGGCTGGTCGCAATCCAAGCGAAGATGCAGGCTCGTGTCGTGGAGGCGTTACAGGGTGTACTCGGGCAAGCAGCGCTTATGAGCCGCAATCCCAGGCTGCCCGCCAATTACAACTAAATCTATTGCAGGGGATACAGAGGCTTGCGCGTACGTGGTTTGCATTCGTAGCTGCAGCAGGTGTAATTGTACGGGAATATGACGGCATCAGCATAGCGGATGGGGCATGTAAAAGCAATCCGTCATTGGTGGCAGACGTCCACCACGCGTCAGTAGCCTGTCTATCGGCACTGTGGGCTGTGGCTTCCTGTAGTCAATCCATCGGCCTGTTCTTCCATCCCTCAGGCTCTGGTGACTCTGCAGATTCCTTTGAGCAACTGCAGCGCCTGCAGGCCAGTGCGTGCTGCTCCGACGTCGTGCGACTTTGCGGGTGGGCAGCAACCCTGCAAGGCGCTACGCGGCGCAGGGACAGCTCGTGTGCAGGCTATCAAGAGTACATGAATGTGTCTGCATCCTATCTAGTGAGGAATCTAGTGCTGGATGCTTTGTGTCATGGTCCTTCGAGATCTAAGGATCCTGGCCGCCACTGGTCAGGGCATGACGCGGCAAGCAGGAGACGCTCTGTGCTGCTCGCGCTACTCCAGATAAAGGAGTTTTGCGGAGCAGATGATGGCCTGCAAGATGTCATTTCAGTTGCAGCTGGTCTTTGATTGCGGATCCAAGTATGTTTGAATCTGTTTTCTGTTCACGAAGTTGTTTTGCTTTAGCAGAACACAGATCTCCTTGATTTTTTCGCAAACCGTCACGAGAAGGGCGCTTAGTTTGAAATTGAAAACTAGCAGCGTCGCACTTCTTTCCGCAACGCCGCAGCGGTACATGTTTACTGCAAGTTGCCCTGCTTCATCAAGGGTAGACAGCCACAGCAGTGGATGCCTGCCTGCATTGGCTGCCTCCGCGCTCACAGGCTCACAAGATTGCTCTAAGCGCACGACCCTTGAACACACCTCCACCTTATACTACCCTCACAATCCTCCCAGTCAACAAAGAATCCGTCCTCAGCAAATCATCCTTTTCCTCACGAAGCTAAAACTCTCATCCGGCTTCCTGACGTTGCCAGCCAAAGTGCTTACTAGCGAGCAGCCGGACAGCCTTCCACGATGAGGAACACTCTCGTGGGAGCAAATGTTTTTTCCTAGGTCATGGTGCTGTAGAATATTTCAAGAGCAGCAGTTATTATGTGCCTGGAGGTGCTGTGCCCACCCGTTGATGCATAGGGAGTGACTCCTGTAAAAGGCGCAGTACGCCCTCCTCGTCGAACACCCAGAGTGAATTCTCTGATTGAAAGCCGGAGCAGATATCTTCTTTGCCAGAGGACGCGTTTGACAGACTCTGGGTTCCTGGGGGCTCACCTATAGTGTTGTGGAGTGCGCTACCCTCGGCTAGCGCATTCTCGTGAGGACTCTTGACGCTTGCTGCCTCCGCTGAACTTGCTGTTATGCCACTTGGCGTGAGATTACACCCCCAGCGAGATCGCGTTCTGGTTTGCAGCAACCGATATGCGGACGGTGAGCAGCGTGCAGCTAAGGTGGCAAATGGGAATGCACGTGGAGTTACTGTTTGGATAGTCATCTGCAGGAAGAGCATCGATCACACGCACCAGATTGCACCGTGAGCCTTTATCCATAAAGCGCGCGCATGCTAAGGATTTCTCCTCAACAGCGTTTCTAAGTGTTAAAGGAATGGAGCTGGTATCATGCAGGCCGCATGCAGCCTTACCAATCTGTACGTTTCTTGACGCCACGGAAGCTGGCCAGCTGCGTGTGTTGTCTTGGTTCTAGAGGTCTCGGAGAATACTTTTGAGATTAAGTTACGCTGCTTTAACGCATCCACAGCGCTGCTGTGCAGCTGTCTCCGAATCGTTCGATACGCCTGCGAAACGTGGCCCCACTGTCGCTGTACCCACGCGATTTCCTCAGGTTTGGCACCTCTGCCGCCACAGCAAATGGCGTGGTCAAGGCTAGGAGGCAGGAGGCCTTCTTCAGTCCAACTGGGGAGGAGAGACACCTGCAACGCTAGTGAGATCAGTTTACAGTTGGAGCCACGGAAAATGCCTCCACCAAGAGACACGACAGGCCAGGCTGGGAGTTTACTAGGGAAGTCCTGTGCTGCACCGTGGAAGGTGTCAGGCAAATCCAAAGGCACTGAAGGCGTGAGATCTTTAGACCCCCTGAGATCCTGCTGCACGAGCAAAAGCTGCTGCTGCCATTCATCAAACTCGGCAGTTTCCATCGGGGCACTAAAAGAGTCGGAATGCATAATGCAGGCCCTACTGAGATCAGTTGGGAAAAGCTTTGCTAGACGATTGTCCGCTTCAGACGGTAACCCACGAAACTTAGTGCCATTACGCATTACTGAAGCTGGAGGGGCCCAGGAGTCTTGACTGTTTCCAGGTAGTTGCTCCATGCCGCTGTTCAAAGCCGAGAGACGCTCACGGAGCGCCTGGGAGCTATCTATGAAGTAATCTTCAAAAAGAGTAGCTGCCGTGCGGCGTGTCACACCTGGCAGTCGGCTAAGATCTTGCACTGCCCCGTCCCGTAAAATGCTTCGACTGGGAAAACAATCACCGACCACAATCCAATGCATGATGCATTGCGTTAAAGTCATACACGTGTATAACGCAACGGGCCTTTCTTACGCCTCCATGGAATTTCTCCGAGGATTCAACTACGAACTTGCTAGCGCCCTACGTATTGCACCTCCAGTTTCATGTAAAAGCCCCTTTTGCTCAAGCACCGTGATGTGCAGACCCTTGCGACAGACACAAGCGCGCAAACTAAACTCACGACTGCCTCATAAGCTCTGTGATGCCGTGAGACAAGACCACGTGAATCTTCTGCAAGACTGCGGAACGGAAGGCTCCACGCTTCACCAAATTCGTCTCTTCCCCACGCAGAAGCAGGCCGCCATCTCGCAGCAACAAAAGTGCTTCAGCAACATTGTATATTGGAATCCGTGAACGGTGCAGAATTTCGTATGCCTGAAAGGGCGTCAAGCACAGTCAAAGCTCCAGTTTGGATACAAGCATAGCAAAGCCTCTGTGAAAGAAGGCACTAACTCAGAGCATTTCAGTAATTCCTGCTTGTACATTTAGTAAGCACTTGTTTTCAGGCCGCTTTCCAGACCACCAGACAAAAGCCATCAACAGTCCAAACGTACCATCTTGTATGCACGCGCTCTGAAGGCACTTCCACTTTTCTTCCCAACAATGGCTTCGTCAATGCTTCCGTAAAGTGGTGCCCGGACTCTTCCATCCAAATGTTGCTGCTGCTCTTCTTCCTGAAGCTGCTCCAAACGTCGCTGCCTCCACAGCAGGCCAAGGCTCTCTAGGATTTCCGCATTCCTGCATACAGAGTCGCGAACAAAGATATTCGAGATAGTTTACAGCACAAGCGAAAATTAGAGTGACGCCCTCTTGTATTTGGAACACCTGCTATAGTCAGAGGTGCATAGCGACTTGAACAAAATTGCAGCTCCCGCATCTGTCCATCAATCGTGCTCACTTGGGTGTCGGGGATGCTCTGTAAGATAAAACACAGAAGAAAATCGGTTTATTAAACAGGTCATTCCATCGTAAGAGTGTGAAACGGAAAGCTCTGCGGTTCTATGTGTGCATCTACCTTGAAACTCGGTATTGTGTAGCACCTGAGTAAAGTGCATGCGGAGGGGCACTGCACAAACTTACGTTTCCTTTGCTATCTTCATGAAACGGCTATCCATGTGGCGCAGGGCTTGCTGAAAAGCCTCCAGGTCTTTAGGGTAATGCTCTTCTTCTCTCTTTGACAGAGTGCCACCCTGCATATTTTGCACCGAGACTTGCTCCCCCTCCGGGCACGCGTAGGTACCGCATAATCGTGAAAATCCTCTTTTGTAAGCATTGTACTGACTTAATGATGTACCATTATCCTCGGTTCCACCGTATGAACGTTGAGACACCATCTCAGTGAAGGCAAAGGGCTTTCCCTCATGCTGTGACCTGCGGGTGTTTGTGCAACCGGAAGCCAGATTACTTTCAGTGTGCCCCAAGCTTCCCCAGCGCGCTCCTACTTGGCCATTTGCATCAGCTTTATATGTACTACACGCCGCTGGTTGTCCACTCCTTCGAAGATATGAAGCGCAGTTTCTGGCTGGCAATGGTTGGTGTCTGTCATGGCCTAATATGCCACTCGCCAGGTTGCACGGCTTAGCAGTGCCAAATCGAGTACCCCACGTTTTCATGGAGGGAACAAACGTCCCATTGAGCCCTACATTTGGTCCAGATAGAGATAGAGGCGATGGCTTTACGAAGCCGTAGCGCCCTAGGCATATCCTTTGTTTACTGGGAGGTCGCCGAAGAGTCACCGCCACCGTTGTACAGGTACATCCCGCAAGAAAAACCAACTCCACCAGAAAAAATATCCAGAGGCTCCTCAAAGCCTCCATGAGCGGAGAAAAAGCAATACTTCATCTCCGAATCAACAGAGGATGGACAGTAGAAGACAACAGACACTCAAACGGCAGTGCACCCCAGCTTTGCTCCATATCTTTTGAAGTAGAAGCCTATGCAATCCTTCATAAAAATAGAAAGAGTAAGTAGGCTTACGTCATGCTGGAGGGGCAGTACCTCTACTGGGCTCGAGCAGCTGTACACATTTGACTAGTGACCGTGTTAACGTAGAGTAATGCGCTCATTCTAAAGATAGTATTGCATGGTACCACGGTCAAAATGGCCATAGATGGCATCCCAACCGGGTCCACTTCATATGCATACGTTTAAGGGACCTGGAAATGGGAGGTACACATCCTATAAATCGAAGCTGAGGATCAGATCGGATGGTGATTGTTTGGCTCACCATGTAAAGCTGGGTAGTGGAATATACAACATGCTAATACTAGGTGTATTGTCACTCCCGATATCTTGAGCCAACGAGCAAATTTGTACGCGTATGACCCTGTCCCCACCCGGACGGGGGGCCCCCCACTCGCATGCAGCAAAGGCATTGTTCTGTATTGGTCCAAAGTGGATACGGTGGGTTCAGCTGCTGTTCTTTTATTTTAAGCGGACAACCAGTAGGATCCTGATGGGTAGAAGACTAAGGCCCTGTGCATATGTACCACGTATAGCTTGGCATGGCAGCCGACGGACGATGAAGGCAGAAAGGAAGAATTTGTAGAGTTTCCTAGCCTTATGATTAAAATCATGGCAGTCATTCATCAACGCAAACCTCAGAGCTTAAAAGGGTGAGAAGCCATTCAACTGAAGGATGGGCTCTCAGTTTACTCGTTTGACCCTTCCATCGACTCCAGCGGTGCAGGTCATATCAAGATGCTGCCATGGGGAAGTACTCGAACTTAGTCTCGAGGCTTGTGAGCAACTCGCAACTAAAGATAACTCAGACAGCTAAAGTATGTCCCAAGCAGCTGCTCGATGCAGCTCTGCTGGCACCAGTGGTACCGCCGCACACCTACTCCTCCGGCAGGGATCAGGCAGCCGCATGCCTAGCCACATCTGGTGCATCTCCGTCCTATAAAAGACGCAGTTTAGAACTGATCGGACATGCAAGTGAGAAGCGCAATGACGTGGGCTCGACGATTTCCGGCGAGCCCAGTACAGAAGCATTCACCAAGGCAACTAGCATTTGGGCTACCTTGGAGACGCATGCCATGCTGGCTTTGCCTAGCCTCAGGTAAAGTCACACATGCTTTATCTCCTGCGAAACATCTTTGAGCTTGGCTAGCTCCTTCTCACTGAATACTCGACGAAGTGCATTTGCGTATGCATTGTGTAGTCCGTCCGGGATCCTCCAATTCATGTTCCTGGCACTGCGGGGAAACTACACGCCCGTGGATTTTATCCAAGAGGTTGGCTATCATAATCCGTTTGCTCCGCTGTTTTCTACTTGATTACAAGGTTCACAATCGTCAACCCCGGCAGCTGTAGAGCGCAAGAGCTCCCCATACTAGCGACAATGTCTTGAACCCAATACACAGCTTAGCATCATCACCAACAGTTTACATGTAATCGAGTTTTTTGGGGTGTCGGACTCAGCTGCACCAATACCTGCTTACTAGCGAGCCAGCGGCCCCCCCAGTTGAAGCATTCTGGCAGCTGTGGACTGCAAACGATATAGCGCTGTTGTGCAAATTGCTCGTTGGGTAAGCAAGTCGCCTGCGTTCCCTTCACAAGGGCCTCGAATTGCTTATATAGACTGCATAAAATCCGTGTGTCCGTGGATCCCCCATGCCTGGATATTTCGTTTGCGCTGCGCATTGTCTTGCGTTATGCTGTGACCGACAGACACAGACTGTCTGAGGGGCCGCTTGTTCTTCTGGTTTGCGCTCGCATCGCCTGTTGTCTACCCCACTTTCTCCCGCAAGACTCGGCTATTGTTATAAATGCTATGGCCGCAGACCCTTCGTCCTATTTGACTAAGTGTTTGGTGCAACCATTGAACCAGCTGATAGAGACAGCCTCTCACAAGCCTGCTGCTGCGGCTGAGAAGGCACTCTTGATCGAACTGTCCCGCCATCTCCAGCAGTGTAATGGGCCTCATGAGGCAGCGGCACATACCCTGAATGGAGCTGATCCCACATGGTCTCTATTTCAGTGGCTGCTAACGGGCTTCACGAAACAGGCAGGTTCCCCGGATGTATGCGAATAGTGTAAAGCACCCGTAAGCCAAATCGGCAATGCATCTACATATATATATATATGCCCTCTGCGCATCTCTCTTGGTTGTGTCTTCAGTTGGATCAGGCCTACCTGAACGATTGTGTAAGGGTATTTCATTCTGCTGCATGGATCAACGCTTCTATCGTACGCACTTGTCCTTGCGGATCTCTCGTCTTGTTTTTAGTCAACAATCTTCACTTCCTAGATCACACGGGACATGGGGCACGAGGCTGCGGGCAGCTTGCTAAGTCTGGTACACGTGTGCGTTGATGCATCCATGTGGCTTTCACTGGAATACTCCTTGTGCCGTGTCGCGCAGTCAACATGCCCCGAGCACAACTCTGACGCAATTTGGGATTCTCTTAGGCCACTGGGTTGCTTGGCGCAGTATTTGCGGCGCAATGTTGCTGGTATATCTCCCCGCTCAAAATTACGGTAGGTGTTTGACATTTTTGCATAATGGTGTAGCTGTTTATCCGTTTGTGGTATATCAAGATTCAATACTCTATATTGTACTTCGTCATTATCCATTCTGTGTCGAAATTCTGATGCTGACATGCTATACGCAGCATCGTTGAAGGTGGCGTTATGTTGTGGCAAATATTAAGGAAGCCGATTGGATCGGCTTTCGTAACCCTGAACGAAGCAAGTGCAACTGCAGCGGACATTGCAGGGACTCAGCTTGCAACCCACAATATGCCTGCGAAGGAAAGTCTACCTGAAGTGGATGGAAAACAGAGGGGCAGCAGTGTGCCTCTCACGTGTAATCCCCACCAGGATGACTGCACCTTTCCTGCTTTGAGCCATCTTCTTTGCATCAATCAAAATGCCGTATCCCCTGGAGGGGACGGCAATCAAAGGCCAGGAGATGAGCCTCTTTGCGCCACTCCTGAAGCGGCTCACTTCGAAGACGCTGTTCGCGACATGCTCATCTCCGCGATATCGCAGCTATGCGCGTAAGAAGAGATCCCAAAATGTAGTCAGCTAGCAATGGAGCGCGTGGAGGTGGCTAAATTCTCAGTCTGACGCAAGAAGGGAATGTTGATTCCTTGGGAGTGATGAGAGAGGGTTTTACGTTGTGCGCAGATCTCCTACAGAGCTTAGCCCGGTGGAGTCCATCAGTCTTCTAGATGCCCTATGGCAGCTCCGCGTGCTCCATGGTCTTGTTATCCCACTTTCGTGGATGGAAGGTAAGGTTAATTGTGGACTCTTATATATCATTCATGGAGGGCGTCGCATTTGGCACTAGCTGCACCAATTTGGCTTGTTGCGCATGGGTTTCGTAGGCCTTTTCTTCCACCTTGAAGCAAACCTTCATTTGTTATCCCCCCGCTGCGTGGTATCACTGGTAGCATGTCTCGAGTTATGGCAGTCCAGGGGTGACACAGTTCACAGGAGCTGTTCTACAGGGAAATCTGCAAGGCTTTTCGTCGAAGGCGCAAAAGACGAACATTACTGCAGAGAGATAGTGAGACTAAACACCTTTTGAGAAGTCTAAAACAACGCATCGAAGCTCTGGGGTAGAAGTTTTGCTTTGTTTTTGTTGCATAAATGCCCTGGACTAATTGCCTTTAGGTGTCTCGGCTTCGCATGCGGATTTATGAGAAGACCAAGGGTGAAGGCATCTTCCTGCCAGACAAGGTCGGGCTAGACAACACAAATCTATGCGGCCGTACACACCATCTTAAATGTGCCGTAATCTTACCCAGATAAATGTTTGGGTGTCAAAAAAGCACGTATCTGAGGGCACTTCATACCTAATGATGGTTAGAAAACCACCAGCTCTAGAGACCTTGTACGCGTGAATATACGGACTGACTGTGGCACGAACGAAGCAATTCGCGCATATACTTTTGTCTTGCCCGCAGGAGAGGCTTTTGGTGAAACTTTTGGATGAGTGGTCCAGCAGAAAAACATGTCCCTGAGTATATATATATTGCAGGAGGCATTCCGCCAGCACCACCATGCCCAGAATCGCTATATTCTCCGTAAAGACTTCGTAGTAATTGTAGGAAAGCCTTTGCTCTATTTGACCACAATGCCTTTTGAACGGCTACTCCAGACTCTAGTATATGTTTCTAGCAGTGTATGAAGCAGACACTGGCTCAAGAATTTCGTAGGGAATAGAAGAGTGGACAAAGTTGAAGGTAGCTGCTAGATGTATTTTCAACATTTTTCTGTAGGTCGGGAACGTGGGTGGCTGACTGTCGTATCTGAACAGGCTTAATGTGTACATTTCTTCAGAGCACAACAGAACTTTCCGTGTCTTCTGAACTTCTCCGCAACATCGCGGTGCTGTTTTCATGGGTCGCCTGTGCCCCAACCATGCCAAAAGTGTCAGCTTAACATAATACTCAGATTTCATTTTAGAGGGAATCAAGGTAATCTGCAGGATACGTCAGGTCTGTAGCCAGGAAATATTTGGCAGGTTCAAAGACTACAGGAAAAAGACACACCTCCAATTCGAGCTGCCGCAGCTATTTGCCCACTAAGCTGCAGTCTCATCAGGATACAATAAGAACTGCATGAGGAAATTCGTGTTGTGGTTTTCTTGGGTTGATGCTGTGGCAAGTTGCTCCTTTGCATTACGCTGACCGCACGGTGCCATTGTTCCCCGTTTCCTGAAGCAGTGCCACGGAAGGATCTATTAGAGCATCGGAATAGGACATATACAGGCACTATATAAACTCTAGGGTATGTTTTTCTGCAGCAATCCACCGAATATCCGTGGGAACGTCGGTTATCATGATGTTGTAGGCGACGGCCCGCACATGACCGGACCGGTGGACTACGGAGCAACACAGTATGAATTCCCACATATTTGGTTGATAACTAATCGTCAGCCGTGTTGTATACGCTTAACAACTTAAAATTTAGTATCAGTACTTGTGCATGCGTATTTGGTGACAACGGCAATTGGGAACTCGGCCTCCTGTCTGCAAAAGGAGCCCCTAAAAGTGCCTCCTTCCCCGCTGCTGATGCTCGAGGTTGCACTTTAGCCTGCCACTTCCGGTATCGGCAGGTGTGTCAATAAGTGCTCTGGATGTACCAAGTCTTATACTTTGAGTGAGGGGAGAGGTTTAAAAGTGTTGTTTTGAAGCTCCACTCTCGACTATGAGTAGATGCTAGGGTGGGGCACCGAGTCTCTCCAAGCTAATCACGTGCCACCTTTCAGGGCTAATATGCGAAGCAAATCCCCCTGTGTTTGTATGTACGAAAACAGAGGAAATAGTGCTTATTAGGGCTATGCGACTTCTTACCCCTCATCTTAGTTTGTAGACCTACCAGCTGTGCCATACCCGTCTTATCTGAGGTGTGTGAATGCGTTCTTTTTACAGGCAGCAAGCCCCAGTTTTTACAAACAGTGTTCCGTTTCACGTTCTGTTTCTCTTGGTTAGACAGCTGTGAGCTTTTGGTTTTCTCAGAATATCGACTTTTGGGACACCCTAGACAAATGCGCATCCTTGCCAACACTCTGAAAGGGTCTTTATTATCCGGAAAGTATAAAGGGTAGCTACTGTGTTTGTTAGGACCTGATCGCAGGTCGTTCGTAGGCCTGCTTATGTTTGCCGTGAGACTTAATACCCAATGGCTCTTGCGCAGCATTCCGACTCGCCTACGTCCATAGTAGTTCATTCAAGTAGTGAGGAATGCCCCGCTACGACGTCCTCAGCATATCCAGGAACAGTGGATCCATCTAGAGGTGAAGTTGGCGACTGGGACTTCCCCAGTATATGTGCCCTGCCCCTCCGAGAAAGCCAAGCAATTCCACGGCGAACTTCGCGAGACAATCCTGCTGCAAGGACTGAAACCCATAGTCCTGACGGGGCGGAACCACTACATAGCCCATGGTTTCATCTTTTCGCAAATGCTTCGTTTGATCTCCAAAAGGCATGCTGTTTTGGATCATATGCTGCTGGGCCAGGGAATGGGATACCTCCTGAAAGCCCACTTGCGCAGAATTCTTCCGTTCCAGTTGTCCAAGATCCTCCTTCATCAATCGTAGAAGACGGCGCAAACTACCAACAGCAGGCTTCCATTGCATACTGTATTCCTGTTGAAACACGCTATACCCCTGGAATCCCTATCGGAGCTTCATCAGCTGGGGCGCAAGGCCCCAATGCTGTCGTCACAACAGTTCCCTCTAATTCTCTTTTCGAAGCCTTCCCTAGTGCTTTGCAACTACTAACAGCGGGCTACTCGCCGCTGACATGCCCAGACAAGAGGCAAGAAGGTCGGCTTCAATAACGCTATTCTGAAGTCCTTCCGTGCCTCTCAAGTCTGACGTGTCTGAGCGTAAACACGGGTCCTTTCTACTTGCCCTGCTCGCCTGTCCCTCTTTTGTTTCCAGGAGCCTTGCTACCATCTGCACGAGAGCCAGCATTCGAGGTGGGGAAAAGGTGCGATGGTGAATCTACCTGGCCAAGTGGACACTTCTTTATTTCGCAGTCCATAGGTTGCGCCGGCTTCGGACGGCGTATGAGCCCTGCAGCAACTGTGGCTCGTACGGGAGTACCTGTAACGAAGCACTTTGACCCACTACGCCCATCACCTTTCGATATGTCTAAGTTCGACAGGCGAGACCCTTATTTTCACTTTTATATACCTGTGGACTGTCCGTTCGGCACCAGGTGAGATCCTTTTTAATTAAAGACGGTCATTAAGTTTTGAACCCAGTACCTAGCATTGTGCACCAAGAGGAGTGAAAGCACGGGCATATAAAAACAAGAATTTTCATTTTTCAAGTCTCTCTTGACGGATGGTATCAGGGTTAAACTTATGTTGAGCTCCCTTGGCGCGCGTGTGTTCATCGGGTTGACCTGCTTTGTAGATGTTGCGACGGTGCTTGCCCACTGGCGCACACCAAGCTCGAGAAGATATTTCATCCTACTGTGTACAAAAAACAGGTAAGTTAACAATATGGCAACACTCTGCCCTCACATTGACCACTTATGTTCTTCGTTTTGGTGGTGCATTACGGACCTTGCACTGCATTTTTGTGCGACTAATCGTCGCTTCGTAACCAAAGGAGAGATACAGCATTCCAAGCTAGTGCGTACGTGGAATTTAGTGTCGTTGTTCTTTTGTACACCCCTCTTGAACTCAGCGATTCGCTGTGTTTTGTCGGCGTTCAGAGATGTCAAATGGTTCAGATGACTCAGAGTGGTAGATGCCAATATACTCACAAGTGTGCCTTTTTCCACGCTGAAGAAGACAGACAAGAGGCTGAGCACCACTGGAAGCTATGGGAATCTACATGGGCATCGTGGAGACAGCATATCGATCAGCTATTACTCTGTCATCACAAGCTGGAGAAAGAAATACGACGAAAAGTCGAAGGAATAGCCAAAATCAGGATGCCGAGATCAGCTATAGGAGATGCAGTAGGAAGAAGCACAGGAAACGCTGGGGCACTGATCGGATGCAACAATCAGCAAGAATCCACCAACATCCACAAGAGCTCCCGAGCTCTTAGGCCTAACATGAAAGGATCAAGGACGGGGTCGATTGTGTCCCCTTCATTACGAAAAATGAAAACGGGCGGATTTGCAGAGGATGGCACCGTTGGAACTCGCGCATCTAGCAAGTGTGCCTTAGATGCAGTAGATCATCCATCGGAGCCAGCAATGGAAACCGGAGTTGCCGCTCATGGTACACTGACCGATTGCCAAAGTCCTGCAATAGTGGAAAGGCGAGCGTCACTCTCTTTTTAGCAACTGGTAAATGCCCCTGTTCATGATGGCCCCAATTGGATGCACAAAGTAGTTGTAGACAGTGGGAGAGACTTCCACCAGTACAGGCTAAGCAGCACTACACTAGCTTCCTCGAAGTCCTCCAAAAGATGCTTCCTATCAGCAGTGAGTAAACAGGTGTTACCCACCGGGAACACAACCCTGCGATCTTTTTGTGCATTGGTGTCAAGTCCAGAGCTCGTGACACAAAATGGTGTTGACATCTGTCCAATTGCCGACCAGTGGCGCCCCAGGAATGCATTTTGGAGCAAAGCCGCTCACGAGGGCGACAACCACCACTCTGATTACACCGTATCTAACTGCACTTCTGAACCAAGCGAAGGCCATGGACCAGCTTTACTGATCGAAGAAAAAGTGCCAGCACGTGCTCTAACAACAGTATTATTGCGTTCTGGAGAGAAAGACTTGGGCACAGCACCTCTATCCGGGTCGCATCAGTCTGCCAATTCCTCTGCCCTCCACGCCATAGTAGCTACCAAGACGCCAGATGGTGTTACTTAAAGTCAGAAAGATGAAAGTAATTGTCTCCGCCCTCCAAGTGCCTTTTGTTGTAAATCAATCAATCCATTCTGATCAAGGAAAGCCGATGCGACCACCAGCAAAGTGGCCTCTTTGCGGAAGCCAAAACTAGCCCAGTGTGCACCACAGCGAGAGGGCGGTGGTGCAGTGACATCGAGAACTAAACAGACTGCAACAGGGTACAATAATCAACCGTCGATATCTTGGTGTCCATCTTGCACTACGAGAAGGGGCTATGGGGGCGCAGAAGAGGTCAGCAACTCCGATGAGCAGCACGTCCCACTGGGGCGCCTTGTGTTTCCCGAACGTGCCTGCGGATCAGACTAGGTCGAATAGCTACTGTTCTGAGACAACTTGAAGTGGGCCAACGGCTGATCAAATAGTTTTTGTATCGAGTGGAGATATCACTTCGGCTTCGAAGGTAGCAGGATGCACTACAACACGTCATGGAGCAACTGCCTACAACATGGGCTGTTCGGATTCACCAGCACGTTGTACATCGAATGAGCCTGATGTGAGCGTGAGCGAAACGTTGGTTGGATCACTGGCGCCATCAGAATGCTTGAGCTTGCATGGCCATTGCTACCTGGAATCTCAAAAGCGAATGATTCATTTTATCTGGGGACAGGTTTTTCACACAACTTTTTAAATTCGGCCGAAGGCTCTCTTGTCGATGGCCGACTCGACGATTCGGCCCAGCATGGCGATAGACCACAAGAAGTATTTGGCAGTATATATATCTGTATAATTGAGCTTCCCTTGCCATCAATAAACGGCAACCCCGGTTTCCGACTTTCCGAACAAGTATTACAAGCTGGACTTGGTGATGCAGAAATACTTGAAAGCCCGCAGTTCCCAAAGGGAATGGATACAATTTCCCGCGCAGAAATAAGCCTGAAAGAAACACGTGAATTGGCTCCTCCGTTGCCTGACTTAGTATATTTTTCAGCTGAAATCGCAGAAAAATACTTGGACTTGCCACGTACTCTTCCCGGTGCAAATTCGCTACAATTCGGATCGGAACTAGAGGGACCAATGCGCCAATCATGCTGGACTCCTTTACGACTAGACACGCACATTGGTGCTTCTCTAAATGACCTTTCCCAAAGAGTGATGAGTGATACCTTCATTGGGGGGTGATTTACAATATAAAAAGTGCATTGCCGACGTGGGCAGCGTGGCTCTTTCGAATGATAAGCTGCGTATGCCGACACGGAATCTCAGCAACATATTGCTTATTGCAACTGAGGAGTTCCGACCCGTGGAAATTTCTGTGGCCAGTGAGACTACTAGTGTGTGGACGAATTTCGCCAGTGCACAAGTCAGGTAGTTACTGCATCAGTGGATCCAACTGGCCCCGGAGACACAGGAGAGCCTCGAGGTTCACGATTTTCTACCTCTGGAGAAGCTGGATCGGCCTCAAACTGCAGAATTTCTCCAGAGACTGAAGGCGCTCAACTTGCGGCTTTGTGCAACTTGTGACCCTCAGGGACCTATTCCAGATTGGAGCATCATAATCACGCAGGAGTGAGCTTGAAGACGTCGCCACCAAGGTAGTAAAAACTGGTTCTACCTATTGCTTGCCATCAGTCGAGCAGTGGCTCGCCTAGTTAGCTTCAGGTTAAACATGGTCCAAGAGATTTCTTTCCATTCTATGTACGATATCTTCATTATTCGACCGTAGCTAAATCTAGAGCAGTTTCTGTTGGTTTTATTTTACGCGTGAATCTAGTCAAGCCGGGGCTTTTCGGATGGTTGTGTCATGTCCGCAAGGTGCCAGTGCTTGCTAGCTATGCATGAGGATTGACTTTCTGAATGTGTTTTTGTTTTGTAAAGTCCATGTGACGTTCCGAGGCATGGCTGCGGCTTTGGGTTGCAGTGCTACCGCAGTTCAAGTGGAATGTGTGTATTTCAATATTGACCACCCCTAGCTCGTCCTCATACTTTTGTTTCTCCCATGCGCCTAGGAATAAACAGCGTAAGTGGTCTGTCAACAAATGCGCTGGCTGCTCCTCAGCATTCTTAAAAGTGGACGAATTCTTTTATCAAATATTGCCTGTCGGCAGGTGCTTTAAGTAATGTTATTCAAGTATTGCTCTCCTTTAGAAACCTTCTGTCGATTGTGATTCTTTATGCATGTCCCCTGTTGGGTACAAGTTTGTTCCTTTGAAAATCAATTGTGTGTAGATTATGTTTGTTACTGCAGTGTGAACCTCTTGCGAGGTGCATGCTGAGCGACTCTATGGCGTAATTATTTGCCCTCACGATCTAGGTTGAAAGAGGGGACTAGCACCGGACCTCAGGGTAGCAAGGGCCAGGATGTATGACACGGAGCAAGGGAGACACAGTAGAGCATTCAGAATACAAAGTCAAAAGACAGCTGGCAGTACAGCTGCTCGAAATGCAAATTTTAATGGGGGCATTGCAGTGTTTTGGCCATCGCGTCACGAATATATTAGCCAAGGCGAAATAATATGCCACTTACGGAATGGATAGGAATACGACAGAAAAAGAAATCACGCTTACATGTGGAGCCCATGGACGCGTAAGCAATAGCATCCATACGATCGTCACTTAGGCTTCTGGTAAATGCAGCCACCCCAGCCCCATACTATGGACCCTCCCAAGCAGCAAGAAAGAAAAATCCTGTAAGAGCGAGACAACAGAGCAGCGCAAGTGTCATGGGCAATGCGGGGGATACTAACAATTTTTTGGCAATATAAAAGCGTGTGGTGCTAAGCACCCATGCTTTAGCGGTGTCTCCTTGTCTCCCTAGCAATCACTTAACCGAAAACCTCTTTGGGGACTAGTTGAGGGGAACCGCGACAAAGCATTAACCCGTTATTCAACTACTACTTGAGTAACTCATAAGAAATTGTGATAAAACATATCTATTCCATGCGGGAGGCATACAGACCAAACTTTCCGCCTCGTAACGTAGACTAGTGGCCACGCTGCATGGCTAGAAAACCTGGTGCAGTAGGCTCTAAAAATCGTTTTTTTTCTGAGGTGACGTATGGTCCAAACTGCCTAACCCAGGCCCCTCAAAAGCTGGGAAAAATGGCATAGCTCGAACCACGACAATCCAAGACCTCCAGTGGCTGAACATGCGTAGCAATGAGAAAGACGGCAATACATGCATACCAGGACACATGACATTGCAGATCACCTTCAAACAGTGTCAAAAAGCACAGAGAAAAGAAATGTTTTGCTTGCAGAGGAGATGTCATGCAAGTGCAAAGGTAAAAGATGCTCCCATCGAAAATATGCCTGGCCGATCATATCTCTTTCAAGAAATGTGTAGTAGCGCGGGCACACATATGATACATCTTGGCTTGGGGCTGGCGCAAGCAATATGGCCTAGAAAAAGGATATTGGCGGCAATAATGTTACGCTGTTGCCATCGTGGGGTTGCGTTCTTCCGGAATACGCTGGACGTGCCTTGACGTTTCGCCACGTCTGGAATCTCATAGGCATCGAGTACACAACAACCTTCTGGGGGGCAAGGCGATGTGAGTCTCCAACGATGCCACCTCACCATATGTGACAATGAAATCCCGAAAATTTTAGACATGGGCGTATTTGAAGCATGCGATTCGCCGAGGATCTGGTGAAGCACACAGCCTACGCCAAAATGGCTAGAATGACCAACCCAACAGTGGATAATAGATCTTGGAGTCTCGGATCCCCTTCGAGAGTAATATATGACTTGTTATAAATGGAGTCATTATGCAAGGATGCAACGCAGGAGACACCATCCCGCTACGTGGTACAGCGCATAGGCGTGTCACCAAAGCTGTTTTCAACAAACTGTGACTTACTACTACCATGGAGCCTACCGATAGCACTACAGTGTGCAGCCAATACGGTGCCTCTAGTTACGTATCCGTACTCTAGTGCTTCATTAAACATTGCGCCGGTGCAGAATTGACCGTTAGCTGGATAAATATTTCTCCTAGTAGCCCCTATAGCTATTGCTCTACGTACGTGTTTCGCCTTACCAGTCCATATTTTTCGCGGCCTATGTACAGCTGCCGGTGGGGAACATCGGCTTCAATACAAGATGCAAGCTGCTGCACATGCCTTACTGCTTTCATGCAAATAATATTGCTAGCTAAATATATATATGGTTTCACCCTTCATCCAATCCGAAAAAAGCTCTCTATCCTTTCTCCGCGAACAGTAGAGGCAAACCTACGTCAAAGGTGTAATTGAAAATAGATTATTTCTAAACATAGAGCCCAATGCCGAAAGGCTCTCAGCTAAGCGTTGTGACAGCAGCATAAGAGAGGGATCATGTTTCTCAACCTGTTGCACTATCAGCTGTTTTTCGTGCCCGAATGCAATGCAGCACAAGTGCCTGTGTAACATAGGCGCAAAAATCGTCGGCCGTACGGCCCCAAACATGCAAACGGTACAAAAATCTTTAAATTGATTGGTAAGTTGAGCCAGTAGAGGCACCATAAACAACCACTGCAAACATATGTAACACCTTTTGTCGGGACTTCTCTCTGAGCAATGAAACTGGTCGAATAGCAGCAATTGCTAACAAGCATACCTACAGGTGTGAGGGAGAAAAGCAACGCTCTGTATAATGTCCATCTTTCTGAAAAAGCCCACAGTAATCGACGAAACTAACTGGGGAAACATTCACTGCAGCAAGTTGCCACATAGAGACTTCTGTTTCCTTCCCAGTAAAGCCTGACAGGCGCTTCGCCTATGAGCTAAGGGGTACAGCGTGGCCGGCACAGATGCACATGTACGACTAAGCCCATTTGCTAAACAAGATGGAAAATCTCATTAAAATTGGCGCTTCTTTTATGTCCTGATGTACCAATTCCACGCACTTCCTTGAGGCTCTGCAATAAAAGAATTTCACGAGCCTTCCCACGATGCCGCACATGTATTGCTTGCGGGAACCGTGGAATGAGGTATCCTAAATAAAAACCTGAAAGCTCGGAAGATAAACAAGAAAAAATTCTATCCGTGTCTTGAAACCACAGGGTCTTGTAATATAACCACGAATGTATAGCTGGCTTGCATGTAGCTCCATGCTCTGCGCAGTATGGCCACTTACAGATGAAAAAAGAAAAGCAACACATAATCGTTGTACATAGACCAATATCACAGATTCTTGCAAGGGACATACAGTAGTGTTATGTTGTAAGCTAACGTAACATATTCCCAGTTATCTACTGAAGAGTAATATGTAATTAGCAATCCGAGGGAGGCTAGTCGAGTGGTAATTGTTTTAGCTTCGGCTACATTGCACCAATGAGCGAGAACAGGCAACCATAGCCAGGGTGGCCTGAGGATGCTTTCCTGTTGGCTGCAAAGTCCGCAGGTGGATCTGATGCAAGGATCCCTGGAATTCATGTTAGAGGCCACAAGAGTAGAGCAAAATGTTTCAGAAGTTGTGACACAGCAACGCTGAATTGTGCTTGCAATCATAATTTGTGTTAATCTCACTAAAAGGCTCTCAAGCAGTAATCATGGAATTTTGCTCCGTGATATACTCTTTTGAACGTCTGAGGAAGTGTCGTTCTTGTGGTCAGAGGCACCTGATTCACCAAGAAAAAATGCTAACTCATCTTTCTGGCAATGGTTCCTGTTTGCCTACCCTAGATCATAAGATTGGAAACGAATTGCGCATGCCTTTGCATTGAAACAGGGAACTTGACTTACTATATAAGATTCGAATAAAGCATAGGTTACCTGTGAATTCTAAAGATAGCCTACAGAACATCCACACCAGAAAAGGCTTCCTTGCACGCCTAGCCGCTTCCAGGATGTGTTATCGCTTTCGTACAATTTTTTGCCACAATGGACTGATGGAATGACACAGGCAAAATAGGAATATTATTTGCGTGACTAGCTGTACCGGGGTAACCTATACTTGGGGACTTTATGCTACACTAGTTTAACCTTTTAGAATAACAAGAAAGTTGAACGTTGGCCATGTTGTTCGGTTATCCTATTTACCTAAAAGTGGCTTTAATTTGGCACAGAAGGTTTGATCTTACGTGCGTGTGAGCCAGTTGATACGTGCGACTTGGTGCTAATGCTTGGGGTTGTCAAAAGTGCATGAACGCTCACCATAGACGTCCGTCTCCGCCGGAATCTAATTCCCGAGAGCTAGGGCAGGGACAGAGGGTGCTGCATAGGAAGGACGCTCGATTGATTTGCATGAAATTCAAACTGTATCTGAAGCTAGGTGCATATCAACGGAGACTCTGGGTATAGCTTCACACTTAGCTGCCCTCTCTTGAGGCATCGTAGAGTCGAGGGTACAGCCAAGCAGCCCAGGCCACATAAGTAAACGCCATAGCACAGAAATGCAAGTGGATTTGCATTATCATGTTGAAATGCAATCGGAATGCGGTTTGCTGGGGCGCTGCACTGTCTGGCTCAAGCTGGGCCAAAAGGCTTCAATGGTCGGGTAGAACTGCTACAGCGTACGGAAAGGGCGAGCCCAAAATCATATAACTTTTTTTCTAACCAAGAAAGTATAATATATACTCTGATCCACGTGATTAGATTACGCTCATGAAGGCTTCTTGCCTTACTTAATATGACATGCATGTCATTCCCAGGCACATGGGTCGAATGACTTGTTTTTAGGCTTACTTTTTTGCGCCGTCGAGTCGTTCAAAAATGCAATGTTACAGAATGAGCCAAGAATAATAAACTTCTTAAGTGACCCACAAGCAGTGAATATGCATAGGCTGCCGTATGCCCCTGGGACTTGATCTTCAGGCTGTCCAGTGGTATGGTGACCACTGATGTATTCCACCGGCGGATTTCATCACGGACAGCTTCTAGTGTTTAAATGAAATAAGGCGCAATGTGTACCTAAGGATCATATGATGTATTTTTGGGCATGCAGAATTTATTTATCTTCGGCATTTCGCACAATAATCTGTATGCAATTCTGAATCACTGCCACTGATAGCAACGCACAAATCCATAACGCCGGCCTCATATGATAATAATCCACATTCAAGTGCTCCACTGTTCACATTGCCTTCGCCTGAAAACGGGCTTTACCAATGGCCCCCGTGTCCCAACCACTGTCACGTTGATTTTGCCCCAGTGTGTTTCGGACGCACATCCTCTGGCAGTTCGTGCATATAACCCCCACAAAATTTCTTCGCCTGTAAGAGTGGCATCCCGCGCTCTTCCAGAGAGTACATAAGAATAAGTTGCACACCATATGATGGACTACCAGTCTCTGGATTTCCCCCATGTATCCAAGATAAAGCATGCAATTGGAGCCATCCTTCTCTTGACTGCTTTGGTTTTGTACATATATGGAACCAATGCCCCTGCAATAAGAATTACCGGTGCGTTGATGCACATATAATGGGGTTCACTAAGTGGGATGAAATGGACTGGAATTCTCTTTTTTCATACGTGCCACAATTTTTTGCTCAAACAGTTTTGCGAGGGCTGCCATTTAGCACTATGTTCCACACACCACATCTCTGCAGGAACAACTCTACAGATATGCACTGCCTCTTTGATGTGTGTGCTGCTGCGATTGTTTGGATGCACAGTCCCTGGACTTCTGACCAGTTCAACGCAAACTAGCGACTTTTCTATGATAGGCCTAATGCACCTTTTGCTACACCAGCATAATTATATACCACTTCTATGTACCACAGTCTTTTCATTTGTACTTCCAGTTACCAAATTTATTGTCATCACAGCAACTTTAGTGGCAGCAACCTGCTGTCGCCGACGCCCATTCTGTGTGTCTTTTCCGCTAAATGCCATTAAAGTGTTGCTTGTACTCTGCAAGTATCAGCTAGTGGACGTTTTCTCAGTTATTTTGCTCGTGGCTTTTATCAGCCTCGTTGGAGTTTCAGTAAAGCCTTTATTGGCCGCCCAAGCGTATGTGTGTTATTGTCTTTTATCCATAGTCACTACACAATGGCTCTTCCGCTGCTACTCAGAAACTCGAGAACATTACGATAGTAAACGTTTTGATCTGCTTTCATCCTCATTAAAGAGTCCCTTGCTTCTTCGTAGATGTTCCCGGTCTTTAATCTCATCTGTTGACTGCATCCAGAGAGTTCCTGAAAATCAAGCGGGCGTCGTGGAGGTCTCAGGAGCAGTTTTATCCGGAGAAACAGAAGCTCGCTATCCACCTTTAGCATTGCTCAGCTGTTTGGAGAATAACTTGGCTAGCAACAATATCGGTTTGCAGAGGGGCCTTCGCCAGCGGATCCCAGGACAATTACCCTCATCCTCAAGCTACTTATCAGCTGCTGCAGTTGATTTATCCGGAGACTTTCCAGAGCAAGCAGCTGCACTTGAATACCAACAAAACACCGACAGTGCCAGGGCCTCGCGGAGTGATAGAAGATCTCAAACATCAGGTTTTTTCTTTCACTTTTTACGCGCTGCAGCTTATCGATCTGGACGCTACCTTCGGCAATTGCCAAGAAGGCTTTTTCTCACTTCCTACAATGCCGTTACTAATGGCCTCATCCAAAGTTCAAATGGAGATTCGTTAAGCACTAGCGATGTCAGCAAACACTTTTCAGAGTGTCTTATCAGATCTTTAATTTTGGCAATACTTTTCTCCCTATCGGCGTTTTCTTTGCTTGTTTGCTGGATACGGCCATTGTTGGAAGTCTCTTTGGTCCCTGGACAGCAAAGAGACTTTGCCATAGAGACCTCCACGATGTCTTTGGGTGATGTCTTTTGGCGCCTGTACTCTATGGGGTATGTGACTACCGGCTGTGGTATAATCGTTGTATTCCCCATACTCGCAACTCTGCTGTTGTATGTCGCTTCTTTGGGCAGCCTAGTAGGGGAATGCGCTATCTGCTGGGTAACAGAACTTGCTCCAGATACGGCGTTTTCCGGACTCAATAACGCAGCTTTCATTGGTCTCAGCAGTATGTCAAGTAACGGGCGAAGAAGCATGCATGTGACAAAAGTCATGTCGTGCGTAGCGACAGCCGTTGGCGACATAGCCATGCCGGATGTTCAGAGCATTGGACTCTTAACCGCGTACCTAATTATGAACAACGTCGACTTTTTCGGAGCTCGCTTGCCAAGCGCTTCACGTAGGCAACCCACCGGTGGCCTCGAAGCTCTTCTATGGAATTTCAATGGCTTCTGGGCAATGGTCGCATTTGGGATCAGTGCGTCGCAGGTACACAGGCTGTCGACGTCGTTTACATATACATTTCAGTGCCTATCGATGGATAACATGCAGGCATCGGACTGCCAAAGTCCCACGTCGTCAGCGGCTGATGTTGTATTACAACGAAGTCCACTCTGTGATGATGTCGGCAGCTTAGCTTCAAAGCGGCGCCCTACGACTAGGGCAGAAGACACCCTCTCTGTCGAGCCGACTGAGCATGCAGCACCAGCAGATCCCTTGCAGGCAACTCCTGTGAGCTTTCCGGTGCATGCGCGCGGCCTCAATAGGACCTACCGGAAGCGTTTGTTCCGCCTTTTGTTTCACGGATGTGTTCGGATAGTCATTTCAGTGACTTTGCTATTGCCAGTATGGCTACAACCACTGGAAGTTGTAGATGTCGACCTCGGAATAGTCGTAAGTGAACATTATGGGCCCTTGATCCACCATCTTGGTTCTGCTCTAGATTCTGTGGCGTCACTTTAGCTTCACGTATGCTTTTCCTGAATCAGTGCGTCTCCATATCTGTCCTTCCTCAGAATAAAGAATTGAGCGCATTTTTAGAATATGCTAGCCCTTTGTTAAAGGATGTTTTGCCCCAATCTCTTGGCGACTGCGCTGCGAACGAGCACCTCGCACCGCAGCCATGCGCTGGATCTGGGCCCCTAGCAGTTATCCGGACCACGACGTATGAGGCCACTGCCCGCTGGCTAGCAGGGCTGAAAACGACGCAGCTGAACGTCATACGGTTCGATGCAGCCCCTCGAAATAGGTATGATGTTGGGAAACGTAGATTTAGTGTGGTCCAGGATATAAGGTTCTAATTCACGAGTGTAATTCTGCTGCCACTGCACCATAGTACAATGGTCTTGTGTTCCACTATAAGCGCTCGTGTGGCTAGATAGGATGTAGGCGCAAAGCTCGAAGCAACTACAGAAATTCGGTACCCACTGTACTACATTCAGGTTGTTCGGCCGAGGGAACGACTTCCCTGTGGCTTCGTCGCTCGGCTGCACGTGGGGCACTCTGGGCTGTGATGCTGTGAACCAGGATTGTACTAAAGATAGAGGGGATTATCAAATCTCTTTCCTTGTCACTGCGCGTTGGCGAGTGCCTTTTTGGCGAGGAGCCTGGGGCGTGTCCAGTAGTCTGGGACGGCACAGACGCCTGTTGCGATGGGAGTGTCTCGTTCATCTTTCAAATGGCAGTGGAATGTGTCAGCTCCTTCCCGTACCTCAGCAGACCTACTCTTTTGCGGACCCATATCTCAAAACTGGTTGTGAAAGAAAAGATCTTGGGGATCTTCCCGATTGACGTGGCGGATATAACGAGAACTGTCGAAGACCGTGTGTCAGACTGGGCTCGTATATATCTGGATTCACAGCATAAGTGGGTCCACTGGATTAATGGTGAGACTACGAGCCTGATTGAGCGCCTAAATCTGCTGTTGTGCATAAATGCTCCTGCAGGCCTCAGATGCCCCCGTCTCGATTGACGTGGCCCTGAGGTGCTGAGGCGTGTTCATCTTCCTATTTAAAACGATCACCTTTTTTGCAAGCAAACTCGTGCTTGGGCTCCAGGTTGCTGGGCCTCTAAGCAGCTCAACGCTTTTCCTTTCGTACTGGACTGTGGGCAGCCTTTTGCCTTATAATGCCTTGCAAATCTAATGCAGATGCTGGGCAGCTCAGATGGAAGACAAGCAGAGGGTGCTGGTGTAGAGACTGGTACAGTTAGGAGCACAAAGTGTCACTCCATTTGGTGGCTGACAGTGCCCTGAAGAAGGATGGGGACATCCTGGCCCGTCCAAGCCACAGAAACATCTAAAGTCTAGGAAAAACCGCTTTGCGGCCCTCGAAAGTTGAAGGCACTCAATTGGTGTAGAGGATACAAGCTATGCAATGTATCCGAATTCCGCTGCAGGGGGGAAGCTACTTTGCATGACTGTGCAGGTTACGCAATTACTTACCTTTTCTCGCCGATGCCTGATTACCGGCTTTCGTGGTGGTTTTGGGAAGGCTTGGCGTGTGTGGCCTTGGTTTTGTTTCCAAGCCAGATCTTAAATTATCTAGATAAGCAGAAAAAAGAACCTTTTCACCTCCGGGCTGCTTAACCACAACGTTTCCGTCTTTCTGGAGCTCCATAGTAACTTCTTGCATGAAGCAGAGATAGGCACCAGGACCAAGCCTACAGATGTGGGTGGCAAGAGGTCGGTATTCAGGCTGTTCAAGCACACGCGCGACACCCTGATCAACGACGTCACTTCGGACAACAGGGTACTGTGGGTTGAGCTGATCCAGTGATGGCTTGCAGGCATTCATAGACGCCCCCGGAATTGAGGTAGGACTCTTTGATGAAGCCGATAGCAACTTCCCCGCAGATTGATCGGTCTTTGAGGTGCTCTGGTAGGCCATAGATGTAATTTGGGGCTGATTGGAAGAAGTTGCCCCTGGCCTAGATTTCGAGTCAGTTGAGGGACACTCTGGCGGAGAAGGGCGCACTAGAAAATCAGCATCCAAGGACCGAAGACTCTGTTCTAGGGGAATCCCTGGTATATCAGTAACTACACTAGATGGAATCTCCACAGGGACTGTTGAGTGACTATGTGGAGCAGAAGACTGCAGCGCCGCTGAACGTGAGTGGCAGCCCTCAGGTTCCTCCACAGCGGTAATAGCCTTGCGGATTCTTTCCATGGCCGATTGGCTTCGAAGAAGATCTTGTTTGACTGTAGCTAACTTCTCACACTTGTCATTTAATGCCGCGCGACAGTATTCCTGTTGCATCCTCGTATCGAGTTCCAGCTTACGGCTCTTTGAAACTTCTGTGAGGTACGCGACCTGACGCTCGGCGTCGCTTTTCCTTACTTGGGTCTCCAGGGCTTGCATATAAGCGTCTCTTGTCATCATACCCTTAAGTGCCTGCTGCAGTTGTGCATGGGCAGTCTTGAGATCGTCACTCAGGACTCGTACACGCTCCTCGAGTTGCCTTAGCAACGTGTCCCTACGCACTACTTCTCCATGTAGCTCCACGATCTTCTCATCTCGGCTTGCCACAGTTGCTTTGAACGCAGCGCATTGCTCAGCTGCCACCAGGAGCTCTTGTTCTGCCTCTTCTCGTTTAGTCTGTTCTCTTTGTAAGCGATCTTTCGCCCGAGCGGTGTAGTGCTCCAGCTCCCTTGTCTTCTGCTGTAAGTATGCCTCAACACGAGCTACTTTCATATCACGCTGGGAAAGCAACTCTAGCAGCTCTGCTGCTTCTCGTCGTTTGTCAGTGAGCTTGTCGAATGTGTCCTGCTGTAAGTGATCGGCATCCGTTCGTTCTTGCCTCAGTGTCTTAATTTCAGCTTCTGCCGCTCGCAGCTTTTCTCGCAGTTCAGCACTCCCTTGTACCATAGATATCGCCTGAACGCCCAGCTGCACGGCTGATGCTTCTTTCGTAGTTGGATCAACAGAATCCAGTGCAGCAGCCTGCCTCTCCTTTTGCAGAAGCAGCTCTATGAGCTCTTGCCTTTCATGACGAAGTACTTCAACTTGTTTCCTCATTGTAGTCAGTTCAACGGCTTGCTCTTGACCGTCCATTACGTCAATCCTGAGAAATAATGCCATAATAGATACACACTCTATTGAAATTTCATGCCATCACAGATTGATGATGCAGAACAAATATTCAAAGACCACTGCTTTTGTAAAGAATATCCGGTAAAACTTCGGGTGAAGATACTTTAGACGAACCCCTTTTCAGCTGCTTGCGATTTGCGCAATTCGTTCAACTTGGATGATAAATCCTGTATTTCTGCTTCTTTAAGCTCCAGCTGGGTGTCTCGAGTATTGAGCATTTTTTGAAGGCACCTTACTTCCTCTTGCCAGTCACGCTGGTACGATCCACCTGCGTCCTCTGACACCACAGCCACTGGAGATGTGGTCGCCCTAGGGAAAATGGCTTCCTCCTTTATTTTGCCACGAGACTGCGTCCCTGCTTTGGGTACTTCCAGTGAGTGCACCACCCGTGGTTCAACGAGTTTCCCGGCACCACCGCGTGCTCCGTACGCATTGCTGATGTATGTTACGTCCACTGGCTCTTCAGAACTCAACGCATACTGTCCAGAAGTGAGCATTGGTGCATATGTTCTCTGATTTGTACCATTAGCTTCAATTAGGGAATTGCTTGAGACCATGCCCTGCCTTTGCGGTGCCCCAACGTAATTACAATGGTACATTGCGCTATGCGTTCCTGTGGGTGCTCCCGGGTGAAATGAAGATGACAAGGGATACACGGAATGCAGGCCAGGTGCCAAGGCAGCCCCGGTGTCGGCGTATAGCACAGGCCGCATAGTAGACGTGAAAGGGAGGCGTTTTACAGCCTGGCGTCGACTAGATGGGCAGATGTCACCGCACCCTAGGATGGTCATCTGCAGACCAGCACCATCGACACAGCTACCCAATATGTTGGCACATTGATTGAGTTCACATCGCACTTAGGTGACCCTTCAATAGCAACATTAATGTGAAGGGCTCATAGATCAGCTTAACGGGATATAGGTGGCAGAACGTATTGCGTACCTGGTGCATGGGAATTTGCTGAGCCTGAATAGGGAGCTCCAGAAAGTCCACTCATAGAATGAAGTGCGATGATTCCTTTCCACCCAACCGTTGTTTGTTGTGGGCGCCAATGCACAATGAGCTTTTCTCATACCGATGACAAGTACATTCAATGAAGGGGAATAAAGGTTGCCTGCTAAATAATTCTAAGTCTATTAGCTCTTTAGCGCTTTCCAAAGCATGAGCAAAGCTTTCAGCTGGCCCTGTTTCTCCAGGCAATGTGCGCGATATCCACTTTCACCGTTTTCTCGAGTCTTGACTGTAGCGCTATGGTGCTAGAGACAAGGAACCAGCGGCAGTTGTAGCAATTCACTGAAAAGACGGAAGTAATACCATCAGATTCTTAAAATAAAGACCAGTTGAAATCACATGGGATTAATATGTTCTACCGACTTGGGAATAGGAACACGTGAGGAATGGCTTTGGAGCCGCTCGCTAGTCGTTCGCCAGTGCTGCAGTAGAACTCTACCGGAGTTCAACGAATAAGCAACACCTACATCAGTTTAGTCAATAAATTTCAAATAAGATAAACTTACTATACCTACGAATCTTGTAACGCTATTCAGCTGTGCAGTGCTCGGGCTCTGGGAGCGTAGTCTTCTGGAGCAACTCAATCGGAGGACCCTAACACCTCGCCAGCCCGGCGACGGCATAAGTCTACTTAAGCTCCCCGGTTGCATGCACGATTGCTCATCAAGCTTCTATAATGCATCAAATGGCAAGATATGCCCTGTTTGGTACTCATTTGCCTGCAGAGTTGTCCATTGCATGTGCTCACTCATTGTAATATGTGTAATGACTGCAAGACCTAACTTCTTTAAGAGCATTGGTATTCCGCACGCATTGTGAGCTTCCAGCTCGTGCCTGAAAGTCTGCAGTAATGAAATGGCATAAGCCACCTCACCGGGTCAGCGCAACGTTCCTAGGACCGCAATATCTGAACCTGGTTCCGGCGTAGGTCTTTGTACCAATCCCGGACGCGTGGTATGGCTGGCATTACTCTTTGCTGGATTCCACGCCTTGAGTGGATTGGTCGTAACAGGAAGAGAGCGAAGCCACCAACAATCCAGCAAACTCGGTGCTGTGGTATCTGTGGAGCAGCCGTAGCTTCTAGCTTTAGACCTCGCCTTACTGCGACGGGGTCAATGAGATGGGACCGGTATACGCCTCCCCGAGAGGATCGTTCTAGTTTCTAGAATGAATGAAACTTGCTCCCTCGACTGTCAATACACAAGCTAGTCCTAAAGCCTGTGCTTGAAAGCAGTACAGCAAATCGCTGCCGGTTGGGTTACCCAGACGTGTCTAGGTCGTTCACCGCCAAAATGTTGCCAAACTGCTGATCACCGGCACACTGCGGCATATTAATTATTCACCAGACTACTCGATACTACGCCACAACGCTTACGTGGATACAGCCCATTGTGCAGGACACGTCTTTACCACCTTACACACTTTGTAAATTGAAAAACTTATTGGCATAAAAACAAAAGTTGCTCGGCGGGAGCTGGTGCACTCCTGCTAAGGCACCATATTGTTAAACATTAATATATGGAATGCTCTCTTTTTCCTCGGACCAGGAGGAATGCGTCACAAATTCTTGAAGGGCAAGGAGATGGGCCTCAACTCTTGGAGCCCTTAGTATCTCCAGCTGTTACAAGAAGTAAGGATGTTTCCACCCTCAGAGGCTGTACGAGAGCTCCGCGTTGTATTCGGATGCCATACATTCAGCGGAGTCTCCGGTACACCCTTGTGCCTCGTCAGGTTTTGCTAGGCCGGAAAGGTCTTCGATGCGAAGTGCTATATCAGCTGAGATGCACGATGCACACGGCGTTTGGTTTAGTCACGCAAGCGAGTGCAAGTTCAGTCGCGTGACAAAGTCAGACCTCTTTTGTGAGGGTTGTTTCGGGGGAGCCATACCTGGGCAGTGGTAGTCCGTAAGTCTGGAAGCAGCTTTGCCCAGGTCACGATGAGGAGTTTTATACGCTGCAGAGCAATGCACAGCGCCCCATGCAATTCGATATGTAGGCAGATACATGGCGTGGAACTCTTTACCTTTTGAACACTTGCTACTTGTTCCCCAATTCATGATCTCACCAGTGCCCTTTTTTAACATGCTCTTTTGAATCCTTTTGTTACGCTTCCACGGGCATTCAAGTTCTGGAAAATTCATATTCCACTGCGCCAGTACATCTTGTTTCTCCGAATCTGTCGGAGTCTTCTCATACTTTTTGAACAAATCGACAAGGGACCCGTGCTTTGTACGAGATGAGCCTTTCCAAGCATGTACGCTGGCAAGGAAGGTGAATACATATTTGAGGTAAGCTTTATCCACAGCTTTAGCGCTTTTGCCAAAAGCTTGTGTAAGAACCTTAATTCCTTCATCTGAAAGCAACACCAAACTCAGTGCTACAGAGATAGCTATTCTGCTGAGGAGGTTTGAAATGCTTGAAATCATTTCCCTGTTATGCACATCGGAAGATGACGGTCTCAGTACTCATGCCCATTGAGCCAGTCGGTATGCCGACCTCACTTTGAAGAATGATGCATTGGTAACTCTTCAATATATTTCCGGCAGCCGAGTCAATCAACATATCCATTGGCACCACAGCATGCTTCCCACACGCATCGGCAAGCTCTTGGGCTGCCCTCATTGGTAGTGACCAATCAGAAATGTCTAGGAAGCCCAAGTGTGCTGTCAGATACATCAGGCTAGCATCAACACCCTTTTTGATATCCGCAAAGGAGACCTCTAGTGAGCCGGCGTCCTGCTTGCTTGCCTTTAAAGCCCAGCCGTCTGGTACGGAAAACTTGTTCTTTGCGCAGCCAGCCTGAAATATTTCCGTTGCAATCTTTTTCTGATCGTGGCCTGACACATTGGAAAATGATACGCAGCAAACTAACTGCACCGACTCAGCGAGATGGCGATGGCACGACATAAAATGTACGTTTAATTGCAATTCGGAAGGCGCACCATTTTGGAAGACGAAGGAGGCAAAGAGTAGCCTAGCACTTTTGAAGGTGTCCGCCACAGTACGATGATGTTTATGGCCTTCTTTATCCTCTTGTCGTGGTGCGGAACCATGCACCCACCATGTTACCAACATACGGGAGAGTTGATGCAGTTCCCCGCTGTTTTTGCACAACTCAGGGCTTGCTGCAAGTGTTTTCCTTCTGTGCTTGAATACATTTTTAAGCTTTTTGGCAACCCTTGCTTTGGTCTTCGAACGATCTGGTAGCTTAAGTAGTTGAGCGGCATCATCCACCACAGTCACACATGGCGTAAACAGGTTAATAAACTTTTGTGCCTTTGCTTTCAGATGCTTTGCTGCAGCCGCATACTGCTTCTCCTTGAATGCACCATCTCCGGTAGCTTGTACCACTTTCTCCCACGGGAACGATTTGCTTTCCTCCAATTCAACCCGCAAAAAGCCAGCTGAATGTTGGAAATACAAGGAAACAGCCATGCAGACAGGCGCGTCATTTAAAAGGTGAGTAATAGTGGAGCACAGCTACGAGTAGACCCAATACTAAGTAGGTTTCGGCCGGAACAATGAGTTAAGGGAAAAATTAATCGGCTGATGATTCAACATCAAGTGACTTACCAACTTGCAATGCTACTGAAGCGTATGGAGCATTGGTTGGAGGCAGTAGGTCTCCTTCAAATCCACAAGTTAGGACTTTGTAGATGGCACTGAATACATCGGAATCCTTTGCTAGGTTCCTCTGCTTTTTAGTATTTTCAAGCCCTGCCCCAGCATCACTCACATAACCGCGAATTTCTTCAAATATGCCGGAAGCCAAGAGCGCTGGGTTCAATAGTTCTGTTTCGGAAAGTCGTTTGGACACCCGGGCTGTGACCAGGAAATTTAAAGTGTTAACATTCACGTCGCCGCCAGTAATGAATGGTGGAAGTTGCGTAGTTACACTGAGCTGGCGCGCTTTGCTCTTCTGCTTTTTTCTTCCGTCCTCAAGAAAGCTTGTGGTTTGCGTGTCAGGTGATGCAGATGCAACCGCCGAAGCAGCGGTAGACTGCGAGCCCTGAATTTCACCTTCCTGTTCGTTGGGGTCGACCGATGATGCCAGGGCAGCAGACTCAGGACCACGCTGGCCAGCAGCTAGCAACTTTTCAGCTTGCTCCTCAGTAGAGACCAGGAGAAGCCTTGCCGCTTCCCATGCCGCTGCAACCCTTTTATCTAGCTCAATAATTTCCTTCCGTGAGTAATGTGTTGTCATGCGCACCGCTGTATACAGAGGCAGCGCACCAAAGCTGTTGTGTGGATAAATAAAGGAGTGCTCCGTCTGAACCAGATATAGTTGAAAAATTAGAATCCGCATCAATGTTCATGCAAATGCTTACCATCTCCGATCCTCAAATAGTGGTGACTGAGCTTGTATTTCTTCCGTTGCTTCTTCATATTCTTATTTAGCCATCCTTCTCTTAAAGATGCCTTCACTAAGCAAGTCTGATTACATTGCTTCATCAGGCTCTGTGGTATCAACTCTGCGAAACCATTCAAACTAATTGTCTGAAACTGAATGATCACCTTGCTTTGAAGCTGCACTCCACGCAGCATTGCACGTGAACAATAATGACTTACCAGGATGAGCCTCGCTGGAACCATCGGTGAAACACACAGATTCTATATTTTGGAGGTTCTGGTGAGCTTGTTGGCTGTATGCTGCACAGCAGCCAAAACCACATTGTACATCACATGTAAATTCACATTTTAACGAGCAAGTCAGGTGTACGAAACGGAGTTGCACTGCCCTTTGGTGAAACCATGCTTACAGGGGATCTGTTTCCGTGCTTCTCCAGTACTCCATAGCTCGCGACAACTGAGACCATCCATGGCAGCTGCATTGAGCCCAAGCTCAGTAAATGTACCAACCAAGCACTGCTCCTCCAGCGCGGTATTCTTGTCTAACGTATGCATTGGAGTCGCCCCTGGTGACAAAATGACCTTGGACACCGGATTTTCATGCGGCGACTGAACAACTGGGCTCATCAGCCTTGAGCCCACCGTTGACATTTCCAAGAGCCGCGCTAGAAGTAAGCTGTCTTGTGTCATGAGATTGGGGGTATTCAAAGATAAGCAAGCGGGGAAAGCGTGATGCTTTAGTATAATCTGTAAGATCTCAATCACTGCAGAATGATTGACAAACACAGGCATATTGCAGTCTACTGAGATGACCTGAAGAGTATTCACATGTTCATGGTAGTCTGTTTTTTCGGCAGGACTGGAGTTAGTTTAGGGCATGTGGCTTGCTTTTCATTGATTCGAGGGCGCTGAACATGGGGTAGGTCCTAGAGATGTCCTTCCACCCTTTGCCAGTCTGCGCCGTATTTGTGTAAGGAATTAGGGGGGCTCCGAGCATCTTGCGTGCGTCAACGAGCAAGCGGAAAACTGCAAACAGGCAAATATATATGCAAGACAGTGTGTCTAACCTAATCATGAGTAAGTAGTGCATTGGTCCAAGAGCAAAGTGAACAACTGTATTTCTTCGTGCCCAAATATGAGTGGACTGACCATCGGAATTTTCGGCTAAGGCTTGCAAGAGGCTTCCGAGTTTTGCAGTCCGTCTCGCAGATTCCAGGGCCTCCCCGTACCCGTGATCGCTAGCGAACTCTAGAAACTTTGAAAAAATTACTGGATCTTCGCGCTCAAGATTCTTCCATTTGTTTGTTAATGTTGTGTCAACAAAACCAACTTCAACTGGAATCACAGTGCATTCAGCAATAGTTACGAAATCATATGGTTTGAACACTTCTACGTAGTCCATCTGATATGAGGCACGGAAATTAATTGAGTTCATGGAATGGAGTGCTTTAAACTAACTTGGGTCTCCGGTGACAATGGTGTCTTTCAAGTCCACCGCATGGTCAATATCTTGGAGGGTGACTAGGTTATCGTTTACAGCGCTGACAGTGAAAACGCGCTCCCCCGCTTGCTTATACTTATCCAGCAGCTTAACCCTGTTTCCCGGTTTCACATTAGACGAAACGCCTGGAGAGGTAGCACCAATTTCGCAAACATGCCGACAGGTAGTGCAAGCTGCTCCGTGCACTCTGGGCTTGGCGAGAAGCTATTGCCTTTTATGCATTGACCATTGATAATTATAGCAGCTCACCATTCAATAAATTATTTTCCTTATTGCCTGTTGGGAAACAAGGACGCAGTCGACAGAAAAACCAATGACTGAGGCACTATGAGATTGCTCAGCACAGTAAGCGGTGTAATTAAGCTGTTCTGCAGATACTAAGCTAGCTCACTTAAATAGTTTGTCGCATCATTGAACTCACCAGTAAGATGTACCAAGTCTGTAAGCACTTTTTGTGATGCTGCGTATATCAGCAGACCCTGACGAATTGACTGAAGCTCGTGAAGAAAAGCCCAGCGTCCCTCCTGTGGAGGACTGTCAACAATCGTTTTAAAGCAAGAGACACCATCTGTTGTAGCTGTTTCGAGTGCTTCAAGTATCTCTTTCTTCTCGTTAAGCCCTGAGTGGCAGATTTGAATTCGACCGCAGCTCTCGGAACATGAAAACAATCTATATTCGGGCCAATGTGCCTTTGAGCTGTACAGCATAATTACACTGTTTTCCAGTTCAAAAACAAGGCTTGCCTTTTTCTATGCCTCTGGTGATAGCATAATCCACATCCTTGATTCTATCTTCAAGGTTTATATCGAATAGAGTTTCGATTTGGACTGAGGACAACAATGCAACCGAAGGTGGTCACAGCTCACTCTTTCGCACTTCTTTAAAGTTGTCAAGAGGTCACTGCTTAAGTTTAGCTGTACTGGAATCTCTACGACCCCATGTGAATGCCAAAGAATAACACTGGAATACTATTCATGAGCTGCAACGCTGCGAGCCACTACAGTTTTACGTTCTCGTTTCATTAGCATCATGGACTATTGAGAACTATCTGCGCTGATCCATGTGTTATCAGTCAAGACTAAGGTAGTTGAGCACTAAGTCGTGGAACAAAAAACGCACCATCAGTACTCTCTCTTTTCAATGGCTTTTCCCTTGATTTTTCTGGAGGCGTAGACCGCTTCTTGCCTGCCCGTAGAATACAAAAAAAAGTTTTTGCTACCAGCCCATTATTTTATGACCGCCGCAGCGGCAGTTCCACCGAGGTAGATGTTTGGCATGCCCTCACCTTCGTGGATTTTCTTGGCAGAGGTCCCCGCTTCCTCATCAACGGAATGTACAAGATGCTCTCTAGAAGTTCCTAAAGAGCTAAATTTACCAAATATCTTCCTTAAAAATCTGTTTTTCGTTTTACCCTTTTTGCTTTCTCCTTCAAACACCGACTTGGCTGGGGTTTGCTCTACAAAAGCAATGCGTCAGAACAGCGCGAATCAGACGTTTTCTAAATTTTTGTGACAAAGACGTTGATTCATGTATCCGCACGAGATCTGAGTACCACTGAATAAGGAGATAGCACGAAAATATCGGCACAGGCTTTGTCGGTGGCAAATAAAACATAAAGTGTGGCGCGTTTACAAGCCTGCATGAGCCACAAAGCTTCTGCAAGCTTCCCGTGCCCTAAAGCCACTTGGTGATGTCTTGCCATTCTTCTCGTAGCTTTCTTCTTCTGAGAAGCTTGGGTAGATAGCTGCACGCACGCAATATATGGAAAAGTCTATTCTGGGGGGCAATCATGGTTTTATCAATTGTGTTCGCAGGCAACTATGTGATATACGCGGTGCAAGAAGGTAAACTTGTACCTGACAATCTTGAACCGTGAAAGGTCGAAGAGTCCGAATTCCCTAAGGGATTCCATGTGGATCTCGCTGCTTCTGCGACGGCGCTCGCTTCCGTTATTGCAGTTTCCGCCTTGGCAGCGGGGATGATGCATCCAATTAGCGCCAGCACCCGTAGCAGCACTTTTCCTGCCAAGAGATTAAAAGAGGAAGCAAAAGGCCAGGCTTTCAGGTACTGAGCTTTCTTAGCTCCAGGACCAGTTGACAAAGGGACTTCAGAATGCATCATTAGGCATAGTGTTGCACAGTACTGCGCAAACCGGAGTAAGAGGAAGGTGATCACTTGCATGAGTAATGATTACCCCATGGTGTTACTGTGTACCGCGACGATATTTCGGCGGCAGGCTTGTGAGCCCACAGGGTAGACTGTGCCGGTACTTCGGTTTCCAACGGGGACCTGGCAGTCGAGGCCACGTAGAATCCGTTTTTGAAAGCTTTCGTAATCGGAACGAAGGGTTGTGAGGTACTGGAACTAGTGCTCATTGTGTCTATCCTCTGAGATGTCGTTGTAGTCCTTATGAACTTCTGGGCTTTGCCTTGGGGAACGTGGACCAGCGTATTCTTGCGTGTGGAGCAAGGCAAGCGGGGGACGGGACGCTCTGCGTCCAAATCCATCTTGCCAGCTCTTTTGCCTGATAGTATAGCCGTCTGCAGTTAAGCACCCACTGTTTTTTTATAAATTTTGAAGGCATGAACTGCGCGTCGATACTGCAATAGCTCCAATCGTGGGAAAACGGTTTGCGAAGAAACAGAAAGCTGAGCTCTGCTTGATGAAACACTAATCAGGCCCTACCCAATGAAACATATCAAATCAATGTCAGCGCATTAGGCTTACCAGTAAATGAAGACAGCTTGTTCCTTATTGAGTTGCCACCGTCGATTAAAACTGCCCAGACACCGGCATGCGTCCTGCAATGGAACGTGAATTGAAAACAAGGTATGCTGAGCTTTATTAGGAGGTCAATGTATAAAAATTGCGACTTAAAATCTTCCCAAGTTTGAAGGAACCAGGAATTTTAGTGGCTTCTGTGAAGCTGTTGATATGGAATCACGCTAGACCAGCGTGAACCCGTGACCCAATGGTCGGTGCTGGCCCAGTGCAGTGTGGCGTGCGTAAGCTGTCGTAGAAAGCCCTTGCAAAACCAATTGTAGCTACTGCACAGTATTAAAATAATAGTACTTTGAATTTTGGTAAGAACTGTAGCCTCTTGTAAATTCACGAGGGACAACTTCGCAGTGCTTGAAATGCCAGGCATCTCGTCAGGCGCTCGAGAAAAATTGTGCTACATCAGTAAGAATAAACCAGCGAGTAGTCATGAAGGTCTTTCTCGGTGCAGTACGACTTTTAAAATCGGGTTCCGCTATTTCGTTAGCCTTCTGCACCTTCGAATCTTGAGAAGCATGCTTGGAGCACGGAAGCAGCTATAGCGAGTTTCTGCTCCTTTGGGAAACCAATGCGTCGGAACTTAGTTCTACTACAATTTCATATTCCTGTGGTAATTTTTGTGTTTGATGTAGCTGCACACAAGTTTAGTCCACGTGTGCTCTTACGTTTCGTTCTTGCACTGGCATATGCCGTCCATACGAGCCACATTTACGATGGTCACCCCAGAAAAACCATATTTCAGGGCACCACTTCGTTCATATGCAACGGGCCATTCAAACCCCGTGCAAAGTATGTGAGTATGCGAGGCACCTTCGCTAGTATGTTTTTAGGACCGTAGCTTGTGCATGTAGTGGGAAAGCAACAGCTAGACAGTTCCTCCTACACTTAGCGCATTAGTCAACACTTATTCAAGAACTATTCCGTGAGATGGTCTGTTATTTTGTCCTGTCTGATGCAGAACAGTGTTACCTGCATACTTGAAGAATGTATGTTGGATCAACGTGCTCATCTAGGGTGTGCAACGTCCAAACATTTCAAAAGGTTGAGCTACCTGTGGCATTGTTGTTTTTCTCCTTAAGTGAAGGCCGTGAGGAGTAAGGGTACAGATAGGGCACAGCTCTTAGAAAATGACACATGAGTTGTATTGATTGGGATTAACTGGAGGCTCACTTTATGGATTTCCTAGAGGTAGCCCTATGCTGCACTCTACCACTAGCAAAGCATCCAGTTGATATTTACGAGGAAGCATGCAACAGGCCAAATTACATTTAACCAGTTTCTACAACACTCGATATGTTTGATTCAAAATTTTTAAAGGACTATTTGATCTGTCTAGTCGTATACCTGAATGATTGCCGAGTACTGTGAGCTGGATACAGGTAGATGCCATGTTGTTTGTGCGTGCTCTTACTCCTATGGCCAGCTGGATCTGATTGGTTGGACTGCGTAGCAGATGCGGCTGCACACGCCCTACCTGGTACTCTCCCTTCATTTCGGGAACTCTGCGGTACACGGAGAAAAAAGAAAGGTGATTAACTTCAAAAAAACTCAAGGCCTTCGTTATAAATCTGCTTAATTTTTTGAGTTATATCTCTTCCTACTGATATCAATGTGAATCGTTAAAGTTGGCACCACACCTTTCGATTAAAATCTTCCCTTCTTATCTAATGGCTATGAATGCTGTGGGATTTTCGAATTTTCTTCAACGCTTTTCCGGCTTTGGTCAAGTTGCCTTGTCCTTCAATAGCCTTACTTTTTGGCACCAGCGTTGAAAATTAATCCTATGGCAATGGAAATAGAACGGTTTTAAAATGATGGATTACTTGAGAATTCAGGATCAAATGAGCCTGAGCCATGAAACGGAGTGGAACTAGAATACCGAGGCTCTGTTAAGCGGCTCTGGCTATAGTCGAGGGTGGACGAGAGTACAGTCATAGAAAACCCCCGCTCCGAAACAGCTCCAAACAGCTCCCTAGCAACGCGCCTACTCCTACAGTGGAAACTTTAATCCTGTAACCCAGAGCTGTAATGCTTGGACAAGCTCAAAGGTATTTAACGTGATTCCTAGATCCAGCTGAACCAAGCTGCTTGTCCAGTAAAGATGGCACATAAAGTAAACGGAAAGCCCCACGCAGGTTACGGCGCAGTGAAGAGGGTTGAAGAGCATAATTGTGTGGCTGGAGCCCCACTATGGCTTAATCTAGCACCGACATAGCTCAAAAGTATAATCAAGAAATGTTGGCCGTACGTGAGGCCGGATGTAGAGTGAATCTGTTATCCGAGGAGTGTGCAGAAATATAATCTTGCTGCTCCCTCGTTAGGACAGTCCCCAAGACTCAGGCTCGCTGACGGGCAGAGCACAATAATTGAGAGACCCAGAATATATGAGTCTCACTCCGAAATGGGGTCGATCCCTACCACCGTAATCCATAACCTGTTTGTTGTGCCCATGCATCCTGTGGTAATCCTAGTCATGCCATAGGTTATCCAATGTAAGGCGCGGCTTCATCCACCACTGCTTTCTGTGGAAGGTACAGTGCCTGGTGTCTGGGGAAAAAGCAACTGTGGTATCTCAGACAGCGCTCATGTCATCCATGGTGAGGGGTTCATGCTCAAAGGATGTGGGACAGAGTATTAATGCTAATTCAGCACAACAAAAAAGGCAGCGTTATTTTGTAAGAACCCCGTCTTACTGCTTCTACCACTGATATCTTATTAGAAAAATCGATGGGGAAGTTTTAACGGAGGAACTCGGGGATTTGCTTGATGATGACGAGCTGCCAACAGCTGGCCACTTCCGCTTGCCAGCCCACGGTACCGAGATAATCCACTGGAGCCCCAAGCTATGTTTTGCAGTACCGGCAGCCCCAGCCGCACTGAGCGAAGATTGAGCGGCACCCGTATGCTTTGGTGTGCGGTCAAAGCGGAA